CACCATGGATGCCATTTGGTTTAATGGCTCTTTCAATAATCCCTCAGCTACCCATGCTACTCCGAGACCATGTATGTGTTAAGCCACCCTTCTTCTTTGTAACTTCCACTTAAAATCACAAAAATGGTTGCCTTAATTGTGATAATTCCCATTGTGAGTTAACCAATTGTTGGAACTTCTCCATCAAGACAGCAGCACTAATGAGAACACCCCTCATGTTATGGTTCCCAATGGAGGATGACTCCTCCATTCAAGAGGTTCACTTTACAAAAGATATTTCCCTTTCCAGAGTTAGGCGAGATTTGGAGATTACTGCTGCCATCATAGCTGCCTCCCTCGCTGCGGTGACAGCAGCTACCGCCCTTGATATAGCTTTAACCCAGTCCACAACAAATGCTGCAACCATTAATCAGGTAATGCAGCGCTCCATCAAAGCCCTGACCCCGGAGTGACTAAACCTGCACTTGCAAGGAGGTATCTTAGTGTTACAACAACAGATTGACCATATTGATGAAAAAATTGATATGCTTCAATTGAATGTTAGGGTACCCTGTAGTCTTCAATTTCTGTGTATTTGTCAAACCCCTGTCTTGGCAAAAAATGTAACAGAAGCTCAACTTGAAGTAGTAGATAGACTTAAGGGACCTTGGGATATGGTTTTTAGAAATTTCACTATGATGCTGCATTCCCAGATTCTCAGTCTAAATGAAACCAGAGCAAATCTAAGTCTTAACCCCTCAATTCTACAGCAGCTATGGGATAAATTGTCAGCTTTAATTGACTCCGCTAACTGGATCCTTGCTGTCATTGTCATTGCTCTTCTTGTTCTAATGTATGTTCTTTTAAGATGCTTCCAAAAAAGGCTCAACAAAGCAGAAACTAAGAAAGCTATGATAGTATATGCATATAAGGAAAGTCAAAAGGAGAGTAAGGAGTCTCCTTCAGCTGTGTGGATGGCAGCTATGGATCGGATCTAAGTAAATACTAAGGGCCAGTTATGAGGGATTAGGTCCTGAGCCTTGTCACAGTTCTCCTTTTCATCTGTCTCTCTGCTTTGCCCCAATACAACTTCCTTTTTCTCATCCGATTACTGTTTGCTGGTTCTATGGCCTCTCTCTTTCATTTCTGAACACAGCCTCTCCCGCCCAGTGCTGTGAGCTGAGCCCTCCCTGGAGAAGAAACCTGAGTTTCCCAAAACCTGTGACCAGAGCTGGGGCCCAGCCAACAGGCGAGGGGATCCTAAGGCAGATGCTGGCGGCCACAGGGGCATTAGTTACCAAGGAGTCAGAGAACTAACCCTCTCGGAGGCAATGCCTCGCACACTCCACATCACCCTGTTTGGCCCCGGAGGATGGCCAGTTAGTCAAAGACAGGTAAGATTCCTCAAGGAGGAACAACCTAAGACAGGCATAGTCGCAGAGGGGCCATCAGGAGAGAACTTGGGAGTCAACAGAGGTGAGGCACAGATCCTCACCCCCGCAGCTGGGCAAGGGCCTGAGCCTTCACCCCTTCTGAGGGAGGTCTCCTGCCCCCATGGCTGCTTTGCTCCCCACGCCCAGCTCAGATCGGGACCCAAGTAACAGAGACCTAGCCAACAGCAGCTGCCCACTCGCCACAGCAGGACCACAAGGAAGGGGCAGCTGCAGGAAAGGGCTGGGTTTGGATGTTGTTCTTGTTTCCCCTTCTCTTTCTTACGCCTCTTTACCTGTACTTCTGTCCGTTTTTCTTCCCTCTATCTTTCCTTTTCTTCTCTTATCATGATTCTCCTTTGGCTACAAATTTAATAAAAAGGGAGGAAATGTAGGAGTAACTCTCGGTTTGCAGCTAGCAGCTACAAGCAGCTCAGAGTGCTTGAAAAACCTATAGGAAACCCACGTGCAGGATGGGCGCTCTGCTCTAGCGAGCCCTCTGAAAAACCACATCCTCAGTGACTGAGGTCAGCATTCCCAGGGGTCCAAGAGGCAAGGCCTCAGGGCATGATTCCCATAACTCATAAGGCCCCCTCTCATAGGGACAAAGAACCTACCAATCTGCCTTCCACCATGTAATAATAGAGCTTCCTCATAATGTGGTTACATTAATCATAAGATGATTGGCTTCTAGATGTTGTATAAGCTGCTTTACTTGTGTAAGATTGGAGGATGCACCCTACCCGAGCCCAATATCAGCTGCACTCATTTCTGCAATAAATGAACTTGCTGGAGGTCGGCTGAGGTTGCCACCTGCCTGCTCTCATCAGCTCCCAGTGTCTGTGTTTTGACTCCACATCCTCCACACCCGCTGCATCTGAGGTAGCTGAGTGACTCACAGCAACATACTAGGACACATCAAACCAGCCTGTGCCTGTACATACTCCCTGATGGAATTTAACATCTATCAGCCCCACTCTTTGTTGTCTTATTTATCCCAAGAACATTCCTGCAGGAAAAGTATGGCAGCCCTGTTGTCAGCTCCAGATGAAAAAGAAGCCATCTGAGACTTTGGGGTGTGTTAAGAAGAGTATCTGAGAATCTGTTCTGTGTCTCCTCTCTGAATTAAAGGGACAGGGGACGATCAACCTAACCATCACTCCAGGACACACTGCACATCTGTGTCTTCTTGTTAAGCTCATTCAAATCCAAGCAAGCTTTGCCCAAGCGTATTTAGGAAAGCTTTCTGATGGTGAATAACACAGAACGTTAAAATTCTAAGCTGAAGTCACTGCATGTAAGAAAGGGAACACTTTACAGGGCAGTAATCACAGGACACCAGGCCAAGTAGGCTAGCACAAATATCCTGCAAAAGTCCAAGTGTGAAATAACTCAGAATCATGATTTTTTACTTAAAATACTAGGTAATATCAAAGGCCTCCAGTTTGGACTACTTTGCGCTTATAAAATGGTATATCTGCCTGGTTTACCGTCAAAGTACCAATGAGCATGGAAAAATCTTCTCACGTTTGTCTGCCCTGTTGGTGAAGATAACTGCTCTTTACAACTGTGCAGTCATCTTTAGTCTCCAAACTTATTTCAAAGTATCTTATTTGATCCTCAGAACAATCTTGTAATATGTGCAGGCCCCGTTGAAGAAATTGAGCATAGAAGACAACGGACTCATCCAAAGCTACCGCAGTGAGGGTAGAGACAGACCTCGGCTCAGAAGCTTCTTTGGCATCATTATGAACCCCCACAATGCTGACTGCAAAACTGTTTTCCTCACCAACTATATATTTAAGTCATACATTTCAGTTAAAATATTGTGCTATCTAAATGCACGTTTGTGTAAGAGATAAAAGACTCATATGAAAGGGAAAGAAAGGATTGTGGGACAGGAAGGTTTTGTCACCAAATAGCTTTTTTTTTTTTCCTTTTAAAGTTCAATTTGTTATAAAAACAAAGAAAATAAAATTTTCTGTAATAGTTCAGCTTAGACATAGCTTCTGTTATATGAACTAAGGCATGGCTGTCGGTAGGGGGAACTTTAAAGTAATGTACAAATTTATTAATATAAAATATTTTAATTTAAAGGGGCCCATGTAAATACAAACCTGGTCTTTTTTGTTGTGGGGGTGTGTACTGGGGATTGAACTCAGGGGCACTCAACCACTGAGCCATGTCCCCAGCCCTATTTTGTATTTTATTTAGAAACAGGGTCTCACTGAGTTGCTTAGTGCCTCATTTTTGCTGAGGCTGGCTTTGAACTCACGATCCTCCTGCCTCAACCTCCCAAGCTGCTGGTATTACAGGTGTGTACCGTTGTGCCTGGATTAAACCTGGTTTTTAATCTCACCACTGTCAGCTGAATGCTCTTGGAAAAAAGCCATTTTGAGTAATCATCTGTGGATAAACATTTCTTCTATCCATGAAGTGGGTGTTCCTGTGCATGCATCTTTGTAAACTTTTCTGATTGCTGAATTAAGATAAATTCTGAGGAGTAGAATTCCTAAATCAAATAGGGCATTTTTTGTTTGTTTGTTTTTGGTACTGGGAATTGAACCCAGGGGCACTTTCCCAGCAATCTCTACACCCCTAGACCTTTTTTTAAAGTTTTTATTTTGAGACAGCGTCTTGCTAAATTCTCGGGGCTGGCTTCAGCCTCCCGCCTCAGCTTCCCAAGTTCCTGGGATAACAGGTATGTGCCACCATGCTCACAAACGGCATGCGTATTTTAAAGATTGATGTATGCTCCCATAGGATCCAGAAAGGAAGTAGAAATTTATACTCAACATTTTCTGAAAGGTAAACATATAAGTAGAAAGCAAGGTAACAAAATATCCTAAGACAAATTCCCCCTCTGGGGGTTCTATTCTATTGGCTTGAATGCAAATGCTCCTCCCCTTCCTTATAAGAGGTGGAGCTATGCAAAGCACTACTTCCCCTCTGCTACAGGTCACTCCTGTAGCTGGCAGGGTCCTCAAAGGAGGGCAGGGGCTCACTGGTTCATCACACTTCCTTCTGAGGGATTCCACATAACTTGTGAGTGATAATAAAGTATCATTGTTTGAATGGTTTAGAGCTCTTGTTGGCTATGAGGTTTGGTATTTGTTCGGTTTGGACTGATTTTTCATAAATTGTAGTAGATTCATTGATAGCTCCACAATGGTGTGCTTCCCTTGCATTCTTGTATGCCGTTCTCAGTAGGAGACCGAGGTCTGTGAGCAGAACCTGTGGCCCTGTTAAACTGCAGAGGTTGAAAATGGTGCCAATTTTAATTGCTTGCAATATTCACCTTTGACTTTTGTCAAAATATAGGCATGCCTGGGGGAGTGTATTGTTATGTCAATGTCAATGGTCACATGAGCATGATAGAATACAGAATCTGTGGAGTGTGATCCTTTCGTCCACCAGGCCAGAGGTGCCAGGGCAGCATTACACACAATCCTTCTGCTATGTATCTTAATGGGCAAAGGGGAAAGAAAATACTGATACAATCATTGCCAGCTTGAAGGATAAAAGTAATGGTTTTATTTTTCAAACTAAGGTACTTTTTCTTATTTTAATAAGAAAAAAATGCAGCTATACCTTGACATCCAGGGCTGCCTGGGTCACCCTTAGGACCAGGTGGGCCACGCTGGCTGGCAGGCTCACCTTTGCTTCCTGTGAGTGATAAAGTGCGCGAACATTAAGAAAATTAAATTTAGTTTCACACAAGTGACTTAATAAACTTCATGTTTGTCTTTATAAACTACATTCAAAGTTTCCAGGATAAGATTATTTTAAAAACTATATTTTTTCCAAAAAACAGACGTGTGATTTCATAGTTCATAATGATCATAAGAAACCATAATATTGAGAAGTTTGAATTCTTAGCCACCCCCCCCCCAATTTTCAAACTTAGGTTTCTTTTTAAGAAATTACTCGGGCATGGTGTGATTCTGTGATTATGTTTTAGAAACAAATGCAGAGATCGCCACTGCTTCGGATGCGGCAATCACATTTCCAGCTCTCTTACAAGGAAGCTCAGCTCAGTGTCCTTATAAAACATAATATTACAAAGGTGTGCTTTATTGAAGACTTCACAAGAGATGCACACCCAAAGGCCACTGTGGACAGTGCCTCCTGTATTCATCTCTGCTGGTCTAATTCCAGGTACAAAGACTTACATTATAGCTGGGAACCAGTTTAAGTGAGGGACTCAAAGTGGAGTGGGAGGGGAGGGCCAGACAATAGGAGGGGTTATGAGAGAATAAGGAAAGTAGTTAGTACCTGCCCACTAATGCTCTCTTCTAAGAGAGCCCACTCAGGCCTTGTGGCAATGATGCTTGCACCTGACCCCACTCTTAATCATGGTTAATTGCTCAAGGGGTTGGGATCTGGTGTATGACACTCAGCCAGTCTTTCCTTGAGAAGCTGGAATTAAAAACTAAGGATTTGGGATCCTGGACTACTGGGGCAGAAACTCAGAGTATTATCATGAATTGTTCAATGTAGAACATGCTGGAGTACAATCCAACCATATCCAGAAAGGCCCCAAAAAGATACTAAATAGGTGGTGATGAAACCAGTTAGTAGAGAGATAAGTTAAAGAACTAGACCATGGAGGAAAAAAAGCAAAACCCCATGCATTGCCTAAGGGCCTGAGCATTCCAGTCTGACAGAACTGTCTCCTGTTGGTGGGTTGTTGAGATAGCTTTTTCTTTTTAGATTCATGTCACTTCACCTCCTTGCAAACATGGTCTAACACAGGTACAAAAGAAGTAAGAAGAGGTAGCTATGTACTGTGAAGGAGACAAAGGGACTATCTACACTCATCAGTGAGCACAGGAGGAACGATTTCTGAATGCTGAAGGCTTAAACCATCAAAATCAAATTTAAAATGTCCCTATTTGTGATCATTTCTGGAAAAGAGATTAAATTGCTTTCACTGAATAAGCATGCACAGTTCATGTTTTCTTACAGTAATTATCATTTATAAAGAGTCTCACATGTCTTATCAGATTTGAGATCTTAGGTGGCTCATTGATTAGTATTTCAAATTTAAAGTTTTTTTTATTTTAATTTGTATTAGAGGAGGAAAGGGAATAAAAAGGACTGTAGGAGTAATTGAATATAACTTTCCTAGCCTTGTATTGAACACACAACAAGGATTACTCAGCATCATATACAACCATAAGAATTGGATCCTAATTAGAATAAGTTACTCCAGGTATGTATGATATGCCAGAATCCATTCTACTGTCAAGTATATCTAAAAAAGAACAAATAAAATAAAAAACTTAGAAAGTATATTAAAGTAATATATATTTGCATGTCAGACCTATGAATTCACACAGTGAGGTTAAGGCTAAGGTTTAAAAGATGAACCATGTTAAAATAGATTTAAAGAAATATATTAACTTACTGATGATATACCCATAGTGAAACTGTTAAAGCTTTTACACAAACATTGTAATTTAAGATATCCTGATTTTTGTTTATTTGTTGGTTTGTCCTAACAAAGGGTAAATGAAAATCTCTTTTTCTGAGGGTATTTTTTCCACCATTTTTAAACTTTCAATTTCACTTTCCCCCAATACCTGATGAAGGTGCAATGTCAGTTGTGTTTACCAGGCAACATTAGTTTTGGCACAAGATAAACTGAGACCTGTGAGGCCAAATCCAGTCTGCTACTTTATTTATTTTGTAGATAGATTTTTATTGGGATATAACCATACCCCCTTGTTCACATACTGGCTAGAGATGCTTTCATATTACAAGAGTACAGTACAGTAGTTGTGACTGAGGTCAGGTCCCACAGAGTTGATAGTTTTTATGATCTGGTTCTTTACTTGGGGGGAAAAAGAAATTGATGACCCTTGGCTTATGTAAAAACAATTATAAATTATATCTGGTTTGGGAAGTCATGGAACCCTAATAGCTGAGCTTATGAAGTAAGTCCTTAGAAGAAAGACTGGCTCCTGTGGGACATGGGGCTTCTAACCAATGGGGACACTGCCCACAGGTATGGAGCTGGTCTCCTTGCACCCAAGCTGCCCCTTGGGGGTGCTGTGGTTACTACATTTTCTGCTGCTCAGACCCCACTGAGGAGGTGGGAGCAGCTGAGAAGATTTGAGAAGATCTTAGGTGGTTCATTCATTAGTATTTTACCTTGGAATCTGGTTCAAGTCACTCAGCTGAGTCTGCAGACACCTCCTGTCTAGAACCCTTGGATCTGAGTGACAAATGAGAACCCTCTCTAAGGAGAACCCCTTGGATGTTCCAGTTTGTTTGATATACTTCATTTATCATGCAAAAGATGACTACCCACAGTGTGCAAGCACCCAGGATTATGAGCTTGTCAGGCGTCTACTGTGTTTCCAAATCATACCTTTAGGTCCTCTTGCTCCATCAATTCCTGAAAATCCAGGGGGGCCTGGATAACCCGGATCACCCTAACAATTTAATGAAACAAAAATAAGACCTTACTTGGGTTTCCAATGCAAGTGGCACAGATATAACAGGATCTAGTTATAATTGTCTGCTATCAATTTGGTTTTTTTTTTTTTTAATTTGCAATGGTAAAGAAAATTGGAAGTGCATTGCAAGCATACTATCACATGTGTCTAGTTTTCAAAAGTCGATAAAACTCCTCCAGAATTAGAGCTATTAATGTCAACAATTAGCATACCATCCTCTATTCATGCTTACAGAACAGTAGTTGTACCATAAGATTTGAATTTTAGGTTTTGAATGAACAAATCAATATTAACTAAAATAGAATTAAAAGTCCTGTTATACCATAAACTTTAAAACTCCATTTGATCCCAAAAGATGGATACTGAGTTGTTATACATTTTCTAGAAGTGCAATACAGGCTACTACATTTATTATACATTGTGTTACTTATGTTACTTATGATTATGAGTACGTTACTTATGATTATAAATACCAAATGTGTTAAAGAAAAATCTGATAAAGAGGATTAGAAATCATAATTTGGGTGGTTTTTCAGGATGACCTTTCATCCTGCTGAACAGCAGCCATGTGGCGAGTCTCTAAGGAGGTGCTTACAGCTGGCCTGGAGTGTGTGACTTGCTCATCTATAGTAGGGAAACCAGGCATGAGCATGGGTCGGGAATTTAAGTTATACCATGGCCTTCCAGAGGACTCCATGCCTCCTTCTGTGATCCCTTTCATTCTGACAGCCTATGAAAGGGAAATTAAGTGCACTGGCAAATCAGGGCTCCTTATGGGATTCTAAGAGCAGAAAGGTTTTATTGTTTCCTCTCTCTTGCAGCAGTAACCCCTTACCTGGTCTCCTGGAAACCCTGGAAAGCCAATGATCCCTCTTAGGCCAGGTGATCCTGGAGGACCAGGGGGTCCAGGAAGCCCATGCTGCCCATTTCGACCAGGCTCCCCTCTGTGGAATCCAGGTGGGCCATGTCTTCCTGGCTCTCCTCTTCTCCCTTGCATTCCAGGACTTCCTGTATCACCTGATGAAGATGGAAGATTATAAACCTTTTGGCTAAAATTTTGTAGAATAGTTATGCCAAAGGGCTCAGTCCTACTTTTAAAAGACGAAGTCAAAGGCATTGGAAATTCTGACTTGCTCTAAACCACATCTCCATGGTTTTGATGTCCATGACCTCACTGTGAAAGAGGCTGTCCAGGAACAGATTCAGGACTACCAGAAGAAGGACAAAGTGTGCAGGGTTATTGGCTCCAATACACTCACTTTGCACATAAGGAAGAACTTAGCAGAGAAGTTGAAACATTTTCCCCTGGCAACTGGTCAAAGAGACAGCCAAGACAAGAACCCAGGCTTCATGCAGATTAAGCCTGAACTTGCTAGAAAACACAAATGTGGTTGTCAAAATCCTTTCTATGCAATTTTTCTAAGGACTAGCATCATGGCAAAGGGGTGCTTGTTAGAAAGACAGCATCCCTGGAGGCCTCAGGCCTATGGAGTCGGAATCTGAATTTCATAAGATCCTCTGGTGATTTGTATGCACACTGAGCTCTGAGAGACACCAAAGTGACCTGGATATTGAATACTATTCAATTTAACATCAACGACTACAAACAGAAGTACTTTAAACCTGACTCCAGTAATTTATATGTATCTCAAGTTGATCCTAGTTTGGAATATCCAAATCTATCCGAATCTATAAATATGTAAGAGCTTTAGTTAAGTGTTAGGATAGAAAAGCAAAAAAAAAAAAGCATCACAAAGTTCATTAATGTGTAATTTTATCTAAGAAATTATCTTTCCTGATCTCCATGTTAGTGTAAGAGTTCACTTGAGTTATCTGCAAAGATGACATGCATGCCCACATATAGAAGCACAACACAATAGTCAAACTATGGAATGTGACATATATACACAATGAAGTTTTATTCAATAAGAATTAAGTGATGTCATTTGCAGGAAAATGGGTGGAACTTGTTAACAGTACATTAAGCAAGATATTTCGAATTCAGAAAGTCAAGGGTCGTATTGAGGTTTTCTCTCCTGTGGAAACTATAGAGGAAAAAGGAAAAGAAAGATGAGGGGAGTGGGAGCTCATGGAAATCAAAAGGAGATCAGTAGAGTAGACAAAAGGAACCAGAGGGAGGGGAAGGGGAGAGAAAGGGGAAATACTGGGGAATGATACTGGACGTTACATAGTGATAATGTGTGCATGCATGGATATGTAATAATGAATCCCACTATTATGTACAACTAGAATGCACCAATAAAAAATATGGGGGAAAAAAGAAACCTTGAATGTTTGTTTACCTCTCTCTCCTGGGAAGCCATTGTCCCCAGGAGGCCCAGCTTCCCCAGGTTTCCCCTTCTTGGAAATGATGGCCATCTCTCCTTCATTTCCAGGAGGTCCTCTTGCTCCTGTAGAAATCAGTAATGCCAGAGAAAAAACACACACCACACCTGTACCTTGTCTGTTGCTCACTTCACCCTCAGGTTACCAGCCACCATTAAACACTAAAACTGCATTAGAGTTGACGGGATGCACAATTTCACCAGCTTTGACCATCTGAAGGAAGGACTGCGCCTTCCACATTCCTGTCCCTGCTGGTCCAGCCCTCGGGGACCACAGAATGTCTGCTAAGTTCAGCCAAACAGGTCCCAGAGTCTTCAGTGAGTTCAGACAGGTTTTAAAAACTCCAATCTACAAAACTGCCTGTTTGTTTTGTAAAATCTGAATTGCTCATCTCTCATTTCTGGCTCCATCTCTTCCCCTTCATTAACACCCTCTGTTATTTTCTTTACATTGACAGAATAGACACGTTTTAATGTGGTTTTCCAGAGACTTCCAAAAGGTAGGAAAAGGAGTAACATCTTCCTGCCAAACTTTGCCAACACTGTCCAGTGGCTGCTAAGCTCCTTGCAGTTCAGATCCACCTTGGATGATTATTTATGTTTCAGTCAGAGTATTTGTACCACCTCGGTCAGCAAAGTTGGACATTTCAAAAAGAAAATTTCAAAGAGCCTGTTTATCACCACATCACTGGCATTCATCCAGTTTTTTAATTTCTATTGGAATAATTGGAGCATTGCAAACATCACTTTTCTAAGGTAAGAAAAGAGTGACTTTTAGACTCCTGAGTCTATGAAAGCAACTTGCAAGTTGGTAATATAAAACAAAAAATAGTAGGATGGATCAACTAAAAAGAAGAGGTCATTTAAATGAAATATGAGACTATTTACCCATAGAGCTTTAAGGGCCAAAATATTGTTTCTTAAAATGGCCAAAAGTTCTTCTTGACACTGGAAATGTTACCTTTACCCAATGCAGCCTCAGGATTGAGCGGTAAAAGTAAACTTTGAGCCAGGAGGGGCACAGGACATTTGAGTCAGTGCTCTTAAAGCTTAATTTTTTTCTTTTTCATAGTGATGAGACTCTTTCTTTAAATGAAACTTGGGGGCAAATGAACTCAAGGCGCAGATGAAAATCAGCTCATTCTAGTCCAGGGGTCTGCAAACTATAGCCCACAGGCCACATCCCTCCTGCTGCCAGTTCTTGTACAACCCAAGAGCTGGGAATGGTTTTTACACTTTTAAATGGTTGCAGGGGAATGGGGCAGGACATAAAGCACAAAACAATATTTTGTGAAAATATATATAAATTTGTGAAAATAATATGAAATTCAAATTTCAGTGTCCAGAAATAAAAATGCACTGGAAGATTGTATTTTTTGTTTGTGTGTTGCCTCTGGCTTCTGTTCACCTGAAATATCATCTGTCATGCTCTTTACAGAAAAAGGCTACCAATCCCTGGTTTAATTGAAACAGAAGTTGGGGGACAGGGGCTTCCAACAGCTGAGAAAGTTCTCTGAAACCCATCATCTATAAGTCCATGTGTTACGAACCACTGATTATTTTTTTTCCTAATAATAGAGCAATTCATTTACCATAGTTGCAGGCAATACAGTTAAAAGGTAAGAAAAACAAATTTTGTTTAAAATTTTGAAACAATATACTGCAGAGCTAAAAAGAAGGGGAATCTAAACCATAGATTGGTCCCATTTTATTTTTCAGAGGTCATATTTATAAGTTCTGATCAAATACCAGAAACATTGTGCCTGGCTGTGTTGTTAAGGGCACTTACCTTTGACACCTCTTGCCCCCTGCTCTCCTGGGAAGCCAGGCCAGCCCTTGGCTCCAGTCTCTCCCTTTCTGCCACGTTGTCCTTCTGGACCTGGCTTTCCTCTCTCTCCGGGAAAACCTGCGAAGCCAGGCAGCCCCTGGGGTCCTGATGGAATGAGAAGGTGGGTTTTTAGGAAAGCATTGTAAGGCTGGTGTGGTGCTGGTGTCTGGGCTCTCGCAGTCCATGGAGAAATGTGAACTCCACACCTAATTGAGTTTGCAGGGACAGTAAACAACAGTTGTCAACTCTACTGCCTCTAATAGCTGTGCTCCCTCACCCAGTCCTATTTTCTACCCTCCAGACCTGACATGGAGCCCCTGATGATTCTTGGTCCTGATCCCACAGTGCTTTAAGAGGACCAGGAGATGGGATAAGGATGAATACATGCATTAACCCTGACCAAGGGCTGTACTGGTGACCAGTCCTCTGAGCTGAAGTGTTTGTGGGTCCTTTCCCCATTTTCCTGCACTAGGACATTCTGCCACTGGAAATAACAATGCAGGGGCAAGAAGAAGGAAGACATCATTATGAGAAAGACAAAGTCAAGCTGACAGAACAGTAAATTCTTGAGTATGGTCATACATAAGGGCTTTACTTGCCAGCGGATTTCAAGTTTATAAAATGGGGAGAGATCATGGAAAAGCACTATTTACCCTTTGGGCCTGGAAGACCAGGCAGCCCATCTTCCCCAAAGGGTCCTGGGATTCCTGGAGGTCCTGGGAGTCCACCTGCCCCTGGCAATCCTGGGAGCCCAGGGAGGCCCTTCATTCCAGCTGGCCCAGGAGGCCCCATATCTCCTTGCTGCCCTTTCCAACCTGGGGCACCTGAGACAAACCACAGTGAAGACAAGGGGTGAATGGAAAGCTGCCTTCACACATGTACAGCAAATCCATACTCATAGAAGCTTAAATTATGTATCTGTGGGCCAGGCGCCCTGGCTCACGCCTGTAATCCCACCAGTTTGGGAGGTTGAGACAGGAGGATCATGAGTTCAAAGCCAGCCTCAGCAAAAGTGAGGCACTAAGCAACTCAGTGAGACCCTGTCTCTAAATAAAATACAAAATAGAGCTGGGGATGTGGCTCAGTGGTTGAGTACCCATGAGTTCAAACCCCGGTACCCACCACCCAAATTATTTAGCTGTGTCCCATGAAATAAAATCTAAACAATATTAACTAAAACAATGGAGCAACTTCTGATCCATCTAAGAATATGCTTTTCTGGATGCTACAAAAAGAAGGGGAGATAATGTGAATAAATATTTCCCAGGAGGGATGTGTGAAGATTACAAAAAAAAATTAATTGAAAATGGCTAGGCATTAAAAACAAAATTTTATTTGTATGTGCTTTTAAAGGAGAAAAACTACTAGAACAAAATTGCTAGAAGAAAACTTTTCAGATGCTTCTTGAAGCTCTGGCCAAGTGAACTCCAGGCTGGCTGCTGGCTGTAGTGAGAGAATTGTAGAAATCGGAGCAGCACCATCTAGCATTACTGGCATTAGAGATAAGGCTGTAGTGGCAGGTTTTGCCTCAAGCTTGTTTAGATTTTTCAAGTGGGCACATCTTGCATTTGGACAAAAGCAATAATAGGCTGCAATAATAGAACCAACAATCTGAATAATGAAATGAGTATCATATTAGAAATAGCCCCTGTTATGTCTGAATGAGTTCTCCAAAATCCATGTTAAAGTTTAACTGCCAGTGGGATAGTATTGAAAGGTAGGGATTTTAGAAGGTGAATGTCATGAGGATAGAGTCCTCATGACTAAGATTAGTGATCTTGTAAAAGAGATATAAGGGGTCTGGGGTGAGTGCTTGCCTCATATGTGTGAAGGATTGGATTCGATCCTCACCACCACATAAAAATAAATAAACAAATAAAGGAATTATGTCCATCTACAAATTTAAAAAAAATTGTTTAAAAAAAAGAGGTATGAGGGAGCTCTCCTTCATGCAAGCATGCACAGAAGTTGCCACCTCTGAGGAACAGATCCTCAAACCCCTGGTGCCTTGTCCTTGAACTTTCCAGTTTTCTGAACTATAAGAAATAAATTTTCTTTAATTTCCCTACAGCAGCCCCTTAGCATCTGTATTGGGAGACAGTCCTTCATAGGTCTCTTGCACTCTTTATGTCTTGCTGGGGATGGCAAGAATGCAAGGTCCTGATACTGTTTACCTGGGCTATTTCTTAAGATTGTGTTTGCAGAGAGCAACCGTGACAGATGGTATGGCTCCCCCAAGACATAAAGCAGGCTTGCTGGAAGGCTGCTACAGAGTTGTGGTTCCTAGGCTCAGCATCTCCCTCATTTAATGCAACCCACTGTGAATGCAGCCCCCCATACACTGTACCATGGGACTTGGGTGACACGGGGCAATGACATAAACCAACATGAAACTCAGGAATAATAAAGTGTTTTGTCTTTGATTTGAGACTCATGTTTCTGCCAAGATCCATAAGAGATCAAAAGAACAGATATTATTTTAAGTAGGGTAAACCACAGACCCCCTAGGTTTTCTCAACACCTGCTGACACTTACCTGGACTACCTGGAGCCCCAGGGAGTCCTGGTTGGCCTGGGATTCCTGGTGCACCTCTCTCACAGGAATGACCAGGCTCCCCTGGGATACCTGGAAATCCAGAAATTCCTCCTCTGCCTTTGGGACCTTTCAGACCTGGGAGTCCAGGAACACCAGCTACCCCTGAAACGATAGAATGCCTCCATGACATTCAATGCTTCAGACTACAGAGATGGCCTGTAATAAATTGTCCATGCATGTCAATACTGGAAGTAAACTTTTCATCCGGACTCAGGGCTCAAATGAGCTAAATTTCTAAATGGATTTTTCTTATCATAAATGCAGTGAGCTCCAAATGAATGGAAAAACCAACCGTTGCTAAGTGAGTTACTTGATAAGGTTATGTGAGTGGCAAAGCAGTTACCTATGCAAATAAGAAACCACATGGTTCTTTCTGATTCTAATTAACCTCTACCTTTGCAGCAAGCTTTACACCAAATCTCTATAATACTTACAAACCCAATTTGCACTGTATGAATTTGCATTTTGTAAGAGATTTTATCACTTATACTGTCAAATTTCTATACTGGAAACACAGTTCGTCATCTTCAGGAAGAAAAAGAAAGGCACCATAATTCCGTACCTGAGCCTAAAAAAATATATTTTTCTGTTTTCATTGTATTTTGGTTCATTTGTTTACATTTTAAAAATAGTAATGACAGTGCATAGCTATTGGATTATTAAAATAATTTGTGAACAATGCACATTAAATCTGCAAATGTTTTCTGCCTGTTGTAATCTTTACAAATATGATTTCCATTGCTAATAATTGAAAAGTATTTCTTGAGCGTGCGTGCGTGCGTGCATGTGTGTGTTTTACTTAACTCTCTTCATTGTTTCCAATGTTTCTTGCACTATGGATAATATGAGAGCATTTCTATAACATTCATCTTCTATTGAACATTTCCCTTGGATACAGTTTTTAAGTGAGAAAGTGGTATTATAGGATCTTACTGCTTTTCAGGTTTTTTTTTTTTTTTTGCATGTAAGTATTTCTGAATTACAAACTACTATGTAAGCTCCCTGAGGGAAAAGACAGGGACTTATTTCCTCAGTCCCCTCCATCTGCCCTATACAGTTGCCCCTGTTATCCCCAGGGAATTGGTTCCAAGACTTCCTGTAGACACCAAAAGCCACAGTTACTCAAGTTCTTGTTATTAAGATGGCTTGGTATTTGCATATAAGTACACAAATTCTCCCATACACTTCAAATCACCTCTAGACTCCTTAGGATACCTAATACAATAATAAAGGCTATGTCAATAGTTGATATACTGGATTGTTTAGGAAATTATGACAAGAAAAAGTTCTGTACATATTCAGAACAGGGCAGTTTTTTTTTTTTCCCCTGAATATTTTTGGTTGATGGCTGGCTGAATCTGAGAATGAGGGATGTGGATAGAGAGGACTGACTACACTAACATGTGCTAGTGGATACCTAACCAACGCTGGCACAATTAGGAAAAGACCCTGAACAGCATCTGGTCTATAGACCACACTTAGATCACCCTCACCCAACTCAGTGAAGTTGTGACCCACATGTAAGGGGTCAGAATTTTTAAGACTGGAGTCCTGAAGGTGATCATTTTAATGATACCTCCCAGAGTATTTTTATATATAAAAACCTGCAAACTCCACGCCGGATCCTGGAAAATTCCTTAGTGATTTCAGAAAACACCGTGAACCAGTATCCAGACCATCTTCCCACCTTGAGTTTCACTGCCTGACCTGCTCACCCACCTGCAGCAAATGTCCCCCGACCCTGTCAATACTAGCAGACATGCATTGTTGCTGTGTGGGAATGAGTTGACCGAGCCATGCTCTGCTGTCCTGCACTTGAAAATAGCCAATAAAATGCCAAGGCATCCGAGGGGGTGCAGGTTGTGTGAAATGTAATCAATGCCTACATGTGAGGAAAGGTGCTGGTGAAACATTTAGATTCTAGCTATCTAAAGCAAGATAGTCTAAATGTTGTTCAGGGCCTGTCCAAATCTGAGCTGGAGACCTTAGAACCCTCCTACCTTCTGCCCCTGGGCATCCAGGTTGGCCTTTGGGTCCTTTCATCCCTGGAACTCCTGAAAGACCTCTGTCTCCAGGGGGTCCTGGGGGGCCAAATGCAGGATCTCCGGGGATTCCTTTCTGACCTTTCACTCCAGGTGGCCCAGGAAGGCCCGGGGGCCCAATAAGGGAGGATCCCTTTTCACCTCCCAAGCCTGGATCACCCATGTCACCACGAAAACCTATGTAACAACAAAAACATTTAGTAGTTGTGTAGAAGTATAGCACCATGCACATAAGAAGACTGATATTTGATAAAAACTCACTTCTAAAATTTACAGGAGTAAGTACTTAATACTTAGGAGAAGGTTAAAAGGTAATCCTTAGAGAACTTAGTAGGTAATTTTGGTGTTGACACCCTTAGTAGGGAGATGAATTAAACTTTGCATTTTCTATAAGCCAATGACATTTCCCTCATTGCTTTCTTTCTCTGGAAAACATTCTGTCTGGACTGAGAAGTTTCAACCACATAATAAACAAGTAATAGCCTATAACTCATGCTTCCAGGTAGAAGGAGCCTTGACATTTATAAGATTATTATAATCTACAAATTATCACAACACATGTAAGGGTCTAACTTCTCAAGAAAAAATGATTTCCCCATTACTGAGGAATCTCTAGACCACTTTCTTAAAGTCACCCATTTTTAGAAATATTTAAAAGTTCCCAACAGACATTCCCAAAGCAGAGAAGTACTTCATTTACCAGGTGGACCTGGTATTTCTGGTATTCCTGGTTTGCCCCTTTGGCCTTTCTGCCCATCCGGACACCTTGGTCCAGGAGCCCCCAGAGGACCTGGAAATCCCTTCGGACCTAAACAATAGCAACAAAACACAGGCTCAATAAAAACACAAATCAAATGGGAACAAAGAGGGTTTGTTTGTTTGTTTGTTTGTTTGTTTATGTCTATGTCTCTTTTAGAGTATTTCTATTTTATGGAAGCAAAGATGTTGCCTTCCCTGGTTTACAAAATTATTTTATGAACCATGTCCTCCAAATGAGTATTTTGTAAAGTGATTTTGTTAAGGTACTTTCTCAGCAACTGTACTGTAAAGGATTCTTCCTGAAAGTCTTTGTATGAATATCACCATTGAAATGAATTCTTGGTATCCTCCTTTACCGTGTCTCAAACGCAAATCTGCAGGCCTAATCTGTTCTTGTAGGAGGGCCAGGTAATGGCCAGTGTCTAACCTGGTGAGAAAGCACCACAATAAAGGCCAAATTTATTTCCCTGCATCTTACTGCATCAATCCATAAGTGAAGAATAGGCACAAATTCCTGCAAAAGGGATTGAGATTTTACTTTAAAATTGTTTTTGATTTCCTGCTAGGAGATATCTCAGTTAATATAACCTACAAATTGTGAGCTTCAAAGGAAGGCCAACTACCAACTTGAAGTTTGAGTGTTCACTTTCCTTGAAGCTAAGGCTGGTGAAAGCAATGAAACGTTTCTTATCCATTCATGACAAGGTATCATTAGAAGAGGAAATGAATGTTCATTCAGTCAGTTACCCAGCAGTTATTCACTCCGCTGATAAAGAATTATACTTCTACACTCTCACCACTGCCTTAAGGTGGGTGGAGTGTACTACCTCCTGCCCTTTGACGTGGGGCTTGATTGGCTTTGGCCAAGGGGACATTAACAGCTATTATGCAATACAAGGTATGAAGTGAGGCTGTGAATCTGGGCCTGTCCTTCTGCATTTCTGCAAACCCATGAGGGCTCTGCTATGGCTGTGTGCTGCAGAACTGGACTTAACCTGGAGCCAGAAACCAAGCCAACAGACTCCATCTTAGATCAGTGGAATCCCCACCAACCTACAGACCCATAAGAAAGAAAATAAATGTGTGTCCTTGTAGCTCACTGAGATTTGTCATCATTGTGATAAAAGTAAATGGCTCTAGAGGGCAAGAGAGAGTTGGGCATCATTTAACCTTTAGCTACTTTTTGTACTGACGTAAGACAAGAAAAATCACCTTTAGAAACTGTGCTAGTGCTTAATGAGTTGATTTAAGTAGACTCTAAAGAATAAAAATGAATTTGGCCAAATCCCTGATACAGATTTGGGTTTAATTCAGCTAAGAACAAGTGATTGATTCAAATGAAGCAGATGCATGAAAGTGCAATCAAGAACACAAGCATGTGGGATTTTTCAGAATATGTCTGATCAGAAGCATGTCCTCTTGGAAAGTTGAATGAAGTGAAAATCACAATCCATAAACAAGTGATCCTCTTCAGAAACAGGAAGAAAAGGAAGACACAGCTTTAAAATTCTCAGAGGACATTGTAGCTGATATGTGATTAGATCAAGGTAAATTCTGTGCACCAAAATTTGAAAAGCCCATTCAGAGTGGGCCCAAGCCAGTAGGCTAGGGTTCCAGCTATAAATTATTCCAAAGGCTGTTTTCCCCTAGTCCAATTAGCCCTTAAAACATTATAATAATTTTACAAATATTCTAACTTGATGTCAGGATTTGCTATTGCTTTATCTGTCTTGCTGGTTCTTTTGCTCTGGAAGTGTATAAGACAATAACTCCTCACAGATAGTACCTGGAGGTCCATCAGAACCTGGAGAGCCGGGCCTCCCAGGATAGGTTACATTACAAAGGATGGTGTCACCTGGAATGAAAAGAAGAGAGTCATTTACATAACTGCAAGGTGAGCCCCAGGCAAGGTAAGCCTCAGTGACAACTTGCTTAAGACCTGTTCCCCTATGTGTAGCACATGTAGAATTCAAAGGATCACCTGAATGACACTTCCAAGTATCATTCAGTATATTACTTAAATTGCATTAATCCAAGCTGGGCTCAGTGATGTGTGCCTGTAATCCCAGTGGCTCAGGTGACTGAGGCAGGGTGATCACAAGTTCAAAGCCAGCCTCAGCAACTTAGCACCCTGAGCAATTTAGTTAGACTATGTCTCAAAAACAAAAAAGGCTGGGGATGAGCAGCCCAAGGTACAATATCTGGGACCAAAAAAAAAAAAAAATGCTTTTATATCAAATTTTGAGAACTATCCTGAAATCTGAATTTCAGCTGTCTGAAACATTATCAGCATAATGAATATAAGAAAGACACTGCTTCTAAGTATGTGTCCATAATCTAGAAAAAACCAATGTGCTCACAGATCCATAGGCATCTGTACTAACAGGGCCCTTGGTATCCAACATGACAGAATCAGAAGCTTTAACAAATCATGAAATAGCACAAGGCCCCAAAACAGAGTTGAGAGTTGGCAACTTGTTTGCACAATATAGAATTATACAAATGAAGAGACTGAACTAGACACCAATAAAGCTACCATTCAGTAAGGGCCTACCATGTGTCAGGTACTTTAAATATATTGTCTTTGGTTCTTTTAATGACTAAGCAATGTAGCTGTTATCATCCCCATTTTAATTGGTGAGGAGAATAAGACTTCAAGCCTGTGCCTTGGAGTTCCAGGATCCTACTAAAATTGAAGGTGTCTCTTTTGTAAAAGGAATATCTCACAATTTATTACTACATATAATTTCAAATCCAAAACATACAAGATGAGTACAAAAATCTGTCACTAGCTCTGCATGACATGGCAGAAACTAAGGGAACAGTGTTTGATAGAGTAATTGCAAGAATAGGAATGTATTAGTCTCAGAAGTTACTGAGGTGGCCCATTCTATCCTAGCGCAGTGGGAAAAAAAATATCAGATGAATAAAAATGATGCACCAGGCATGATGGCCTAGTCTGTAATCCCAGTGGCTCAGGAGGTTGAGACAGGAGGATTGTGAGTTCAAAGCCAGCCTCAGCAACTGTGAGGTTAAGCAACTCAATGAGACCTGTCTCTAAATAAAATACAAAATAGGGCTGGGGACGTAGCTCAGTGGTTGAGGACCCCTGAGTTCAATCCCTGGTACCCCTGCCTAAAAATAATCATGCTAGAGTTTTGGGGGTCATTAGACTTACATCTTTATCTTGTACAAAAACTTATACCTTATCAAATACAAAGGTATTTGTTAATCTATATTGTCAAAGCAAGCAACAAATAATTATTTTATTTTAAAATCTCAAAATTAACAATATAGGCCAAGATATATGTACATTATAAAAGAAATTTTAAATAAAAATTTTTGGTCACCTTCCTAAAAGTTTCAGCTATAACCCTGAAAATCATTTTATTCTGTGAAAGTCACACAACTGTCAAATATATTTAAAATTATCCTCTTTTTTTTTCTTCCCAGAATGCTTACAACTGGTTTTTCATGAAAAATGATTCTTTTAAATGACATACTAGTGTTTCTTTTATTAAAATATACTGCATTATCTCAAAAGATAACAAAAAATAGATACTTTGAATATATATGCATATATATAATGTATATATATATATATATATATGTACAATTTTAATATAGTCAAACTATATGAGTTTATACTGATAAATGAATGAAAAGCAATTTTGGTATGCCAAACAAATAAATCAAGAAAGATAACTAGGTATTTTAAGAATTTGCATTAAATATTGATTGTATTGCAATCTTGACTACCTGCAAGATACAGAGAGTGCCTGGGTAGAATTTTATTTATCTAATAAGCCATACCTATAATCACTTTGCCCAGCAGAGACTCACTATAGCTCTCACAATTTCACTTAATATTCTGCCACAAAAGTATTCAAGATTACCTTTCTGCCCCTTCAAGCCAGAGGGCCCCCTCAGACCTGGGTGGCCTGGAACTCCTGGTGGACCTCTCTCTCCCGGTGGACCAGGAAATCCCAGTCCTGGAGGCCCCACAGGTCCTGCTTTCCCAGGGGAGCCTGGTAGTCCAGGAAAACCTTTACCACCTGGGGCTGCATCTTCATGATCCCCCTGGGGATGTTTATATCATAAATCAATTACCAATCTTTGAAAGTCCATGAACTCAAAGTAGTCATTACAGTCTATAGAAACAGGTAAAAAGTTCATTAATTCCAGGATACAGTTATTCTGTAGCAAGTATAATTTAAAATCATTCACTTTGATTCTTCCAAATATTTTACAAATATATTTTGTATATTTACACACATATCTATGATATGAATGTGTGTGCTATCCCTCAAATACACAAAATCAGGTGCATGATGTACCTTAAATACAGAATAAAGATTTTATGTAGAACTGCTCTCTAATATCAAATATCATACAATTTAGAAATAAGTAAATCAAGGGATGTGGTGGGCTTATGAATCAAGTGATTTCTTATGTGTTTGAAATTGTTTGCCTGCATTCTTATGTGAAGGTACAGGAATTCACTCCATCACCCTCTGTATCTGTGGGCAAAGAATGAACAAATACTTTCCCCTTCTGCATGAGAATTTGACCTTTGTTTGACAGTCAAGCTCTGTTTTTCTGGAAACCTGATAACAATCGGATAATCAACTGTATTCCTAGGCAACATCGCTTAAGGTAAAATGGATCCTTGAATGCAAAGTTTGCATCTGGTCTGGAGGGACTTAAATACCTGTGGGGAGTCTTTACAGTTGATAATTCCCTGAGTGGTAGCACCTATAAATGGCATGTCTGCAAGCTGCTAGTTGAGATGGCACCCTGTGTGGCATGAGGCTCTCAAATCAGGGCTGCTCCTGCACCCGCCATATGCAATTTCATCTTCTTGCCACTACTGAATGAACAGCTGCAAGGATTCTCAACTGTGAGGGACACCTGGCACTGTCCTTTGGCAAGTTGAGAGTCCTATTTTCCAGTGTCCTAAGTGGCCTGACCTCAAAGTGGTCTATGATAATCTTGTGGGTCTGAATTGTTTCAATTAATCTAGGAAGAACCATTCTCCCCAGTGTGTGTTGCACAAAAGTAGATGCTGTAGAAATTCCTCTCCCAATTTGATCTGTAAATACATTGCTTTTTCCACATTTACATGAGTGCATTAGGACAATTGCCATTTGGTTTCCAAATGGTTTAAGAGGAACAGTGAATAAAGCAACAATTACCAAACCTAAAACAGAGATCATTTATGTACTTGATACCAGCCAAAGGCCATAAAAGCTATAAACACCACTGAACCCAATTTTCAAGCTCTGTCTCTTGTCCACATGTATTTGTTTGAAGGGGTTTCCTGTAAAATCAGATCATGGCCCTTCCTACTACAACACTCTGATTTCTCATCACATGTGGCCAGCACATTTGGATATAAAACAGACTGAAATTTTCATTTCTATTTATCCTGCTTGATAGGTGGATAACCTTGAGTGACATACCTTAAGCCTCCATTTCATTTCTGCAAAACTGGGAAGATGACTGCCCTCCATTAAATTGCTCTTACCAACACCCCAGCCCAGTCCCTGTGATACTATATTGAGCTGCATCTTGGTAAACGGAAAAGGAGTAAAAAGATATGTGTGTGTGTGTGTGTGTGTGTGTGTGTGTGTGTGTGTGTGACTGTATTACAAAGGGAAAATAAATGGCAGGAGAAGTGCACAAACCTGGGGTCCCGGATCCCCCTTTTCTCCAGCATGTCCATCCTGACCATGTTGCCCGTGCTCTCCTGGAAACCCTGGGGGCCCATCAGGTCCTCTTTCTCCTTTGTGCCCTAGAAACGGAGGCCAAAGGACATTCAAATTCTTATCAGCAGGGATGTAAGTAGAAGGAAAGCTTGGACTAAAGATTAAAACAATGGCTCGACCCTTGTGTGGGTTGGTAGAGTTTCCTGAGTGTCTCAGTTGTTGACAGTCACATAAACCATGCCAAAGCCAGAGGGGAAAATGACAATTGTCTAACCATTTGAATCTCTCTCTCTCTCTCTCTCTCTCTCTCTCTCTCTCTCTCCCTTCCTCCCTCCCTCCCTCCCTCCCTCGTTTGTGTGTATGTGTGTGTGTGTTAGTTACTGGGAATTAAATCATTTTACCACGGAGCTAAGTACTCAGCCCTTTTTATTTTTTTATCTTGAGACAGGCTCATGATAAATTGCCTAAGTTGGCCTCAAATATGTTATCCTCTTTCCTCAGCTGGAGTCACAGGTGTGGGCCACCTAGCCTTTTACATGTTGTTTAGGCAAGTCAGTGAATTACCCTCTCCCCAAACTGCTCCATGCTAAGTGTTGGTTACAATTAAAACACTCTGGACTAACACAGGAGACTATAATGCAGGAGCAAAGAGAAGGCAATTCAAAGGAGGTTTTGTTTCAAACCCAAGTTCAACTGCAATGAGGATTTGAGTATGTGACTAAAGAAACATTTATGTTTTCAAGTAAGACAGGGGATTTGGAACTAAACATTCACACCGCTCTATGAAGGGCAGGAAATATTTTTTTTAGGCAATCTCAACAGTCCTAAATTATACAGAACTGAAATAAGGGAAATAAAAGCAAAATCATGGACCATATGTCATTCATAAATGTCAGGGGGATAAGTGGCTGATCCTACTCACCTTTAACTCTGGATACAACCATGTCACCTTTGGCTCCTTTGTCACCAGGGCGTCCCGAAGCACCAGGTTTTCCCTTGGTGAAAAATAAGAGCAATAATGAGATTCGTTGTGATGGATCAAAAGTTATTCCCATTCAAAAGTCACAAACATTCATATATATCTAATCTCTCTCTGTTTTCATCCTAAATCTCTTGTTAAAGATTCTAGCTTGTCGTTCTTAGTCTTGCTTTCCAAGGTGGTCCTACCTTATAAAAGGCTTTCAACGTACATGTGAAAGGCGATCAAATCTAAATAAGGTCCATACCTGAGTCAATAGAAACCCATTAGTGTTGATTTCCTAAGCTTAGCAATGTGTGATGGTTACATAAGATACCATGGGGTGGGGGGGGGCTGGGGAAAGATCTATGGAAATCCCACATGATGGTGCAAGCTCTTGTGAGTGTTTTACAAATTACCTTGGGGCTGGGGTTGTGGCTCAGTGGTACAGCGCTTGCCTAGCACATGTGAGGCACTGGGTTCGATCTTCAGCACCATGTAAAAATAAATAAAAAGAGGTATTGTGTCCATAAAAAAAAATACCTGGGGCTATGTACTGTAGACTTGAGAGCAAAGAGGGTGAGTTAAGCAAAAACGTTGCCACAAAGCTGAAGGCAGAAGTCTGTCATGGAACATTGACTGTTGGGGAAGCTGAGAAGCAGGAGCAGGGAAACAGGCCTTGGCCTGCACATTGCCTCTGTCCAGCAAGGAAACAGCCAGGTCTGACAGGTGAGCTCAACACCTTTGGCCATCACGTTGCCCTATGTGAGACCACTTTTTAAGTGTTACATATTACTGAATACCAAACCACGTCAAAATTATGGAAACCTCTTCTTGGTATAGTAGGCAGCCACACACCACATCAATGCCCTTGTAAAAATGCTACATGTAGCATAACCTTGTGCATCTAGTGACCTGGAGGATAAAAAGCAGGGAGGAGGGGGAGCGCCTGAGTATGTGTGTGTGTGTTAGTTACTGGGAATTAAATCACCCTGGGCACTGCTCCTTTGTCTTATTTTCATACAGTCTAAAACCATGTTCAAGGCTGCTTTATTTTCTCTTAGTTGGCCACTAATTTAGAAGCTGTGAGCTGTAAATGGGAGGAAAGGTATCAGTAAGGATGAGGTTCGTGGCAGCGCCGAGCAATCACAGAGAAGGGGAAGCCAAAAGTGGACATGACAGGCATCAAAACTTGAATGGGCAAAATGGCTGAGAGCTGTTTAAATATAAAGAAAGAACAGCTCCATACCTGTGACTCTGCCTACCCCGCACCCTGAGAACATTGCTGCAGCAAACCACCCTGTCTGTAACTCAGTCTGTGAGACATGGAAACAGAGAGTGGGACAAATTTCTTATTAAATAGGTAAATTAGACAGAAAAAGAATCTTGGCAATCATAAAGTGCTAATAGGGGTTAAGTGTTACTTTAATTTTAATTTGTACTAAGTCATAAGTGATAACAGCAATAGGCCAAAGTGTGGGGTATATAGTATCCTGTGGAGGCAGATAAAGAGAATGTCCTTCGGGTGGACAAACTGTCAAGTCAGAAATCTATTCACATAGCATCGCACCAATATCTCTCCAAGGACAGAATATGTACGGTGTGCTTCTTAAGAAGCCCCTGGTGCTCTGGAAATGATCCCAGCCTGGGAGGCCAAGCAGGTTATTATTGAGCACATTGGAGACTTCGAATGGACTAGGGTTTGTTTTAATGTCTTATGGATGTAGGATTTTCAGTACAAGGTCAGATCATAGGCTTATTAGAGCTAGTCTGAAAAAAAGTATCAGTGTTGTCTTTAGATATCTTTAAAGAAATATTTACTAAGATGTTACTGAACATTTTGAAAGATATGAAGTAGCAGACATTCCTCTGAGTACTGAGGGTTCAGCAGCTGACAAGACCTTCTTGCCCTGGTGGCATCTAGTTACTAGCGAAACAGGCATTTAACCTAAGAGATTCCTGGGCAAAACTTCTTCACCGCAGCTTTGGGATTGAGAGCTATTTCTCACAGTTCTAACACCTGAAATCACAACCATTTATGTTAATGCAAGAAAAATTCCAAAGCAGCAGAGGTTCCTCTCTGCAGGGCACATTCAAGTTGTCATGTGCACAGTCTAGATCAGAGACTTCAGTCACAGATGCCTAGAGGTTGTGCCTGTCCCAGGGAAGCTGGTGGGTGACATGGTGGGAACCTGATAGGCGCAGCCATCTCTGCAGACATACCCAGGCACTGGGGGAAATATATTAACCTTGTCTTCCTGTGTGTCCAGTTTCTCAAGGAAAGCCATCCATGTCATGTTAATAATTCTAAAGAAACACATCAAGGACACAACCACATGCCTCAAGGGTCAGATTTAGCCCATGACAACTTGTGACATCTGGTTTGCTCCCAGATTCCTCGGGGACAGTGACCCTGGCTCTTTTGTTCACTAGCATGTACCTGAGAGCTCTCAAAACAGGGCTCTACTGAATATTTACTGACCAAATTGTAAGACAGTGTTGCTATACTCATTTTATCAATAATATGACTAAGGTCCAGAAGACTGCAGAGCTCACAGATGTGAGAGATGGGATTGGAAGCTGGTCTTCCTGTTCCCTGGCCTGAGAGCCTTGCAGGAGAGCATCCTGGTGGGAACCTCAACCCAGGCAGCACTTGTAGGCTAAGGCAACAGATACAAAGACTTGGTTCAATCACAGGGAAATTGCAAATAACTTTCTTTTCTGTTTTCTAATTTCCTACCAGTCTGTGGCTGCAGGCCCAGGGACCAGCCCATGAGAGAAGAGAAACTTGATAGTTTCTGTGGTCCCTTCCTGCTCTCCTCACATCTGCCTCTCCTTCTTTCCCACTCCTAGTGGTTCATAGTACAGTCCTTGTCCCTGGCTGTGACTACAGTGAAATGGATTTTGTGCAGAGAAGTCACAGGGTCAGAATCATACTGAATAGGGCATCAGAAATGGGGCTTGTTGGAAAATGCAAGCCCTAGAGCAATTGAAATAAGCAAGCCTTGCCCAGGATAACCCTGCATGACCATGCTCAAAGGTGCTTGCCCTGAGAAGCAACTCAGTGTAAAGCCACAAACATATTTTAGAGCTGTCAACAATGTCATTAAGATGAGTAAGTATCCACACGTGAAACAGCTGTGATAAAATGTTGAATTAAAAAAATAGCAAACTTAAAAATGCAAATTATTATATAACCATGTTCATTCAACATGTAGGCATCAAGGACCAGCTTCCTGTGAAGCAGACTTTGTGAACATGCTTTATGTGATGAGAGAGGGACTTGGAGACCTTAATTGTCACCTTTGCTTTAAGCCCTCAGATTGGAACCTTCTTTACATGATATTTTTTTTCTGGGAGAAATGAAGAAGAGTATTTTGGGCCTGATGGTCAAGCCCAGGTTGCCCCAAGATTAAACTCTTTAATAAGGAGTGGACAGAAAGGTTGACCATAGCCTCCACAGAGGCCCCAGTGGTCTTTGATTTTATTCTGAGGGGTCAGACAGCAGAAAGTCTCATTTGTAACTCTTAGAAAATAAGAACTTGAACTAGGTCTCAACCTTCTGGCACTGAACATCTCGCAAACTCTGACAAAGCCAGTATCTGGACTTCCAACCCAGACCTCTTGTCTGAATCCTGAAGTTGAAATCCTCCCGCTGCCTCCTTGACATCTCCACTTGCTCGTCTAGTAGACACCTGCTTGTTTGGAATGCCCCACAGGCACTGCTTCCTTCTCCACCAGTACCGGCTCCTTCCAGTGTCTTCTCCATCTCAGTCTAGGGCAACCTTCTTCCAAAGACTCAGGCCAAAAACTCAGCTGCATCCTGGACTTCTGTTCGTTCTGTATCCTCTGTTCAAGCTAACAGTCAATCTGTTGCTTCCATCTTCAGAATCTACCTAGGATCGGACCACCTCTCACCCCGCCCAGCACCACCACTTTAACCCAGTGTCATCAGGATTCCTTGGCTAAGCTTCTCGCTTCTTCCCTTATCTGTGGTCTTTTCTGCACAGAAAAACCAGCAGGAGTGATTTATTCAAAATGAATGTCAGAGTGTGTCTCTTCTTAAAACCTGCCCCTGGCTCTCCATGATGCCCAAAGCTCAGATCTACCTCACCTGCCAAGCACCATGCTCTGCAGCCACACCTAACTCCAGCCACCTCTTTGAGGCCATCTCTTCCTGCTCTTCCCTCATTCTCACTGGAGCCACACTCAATGGTGATGGCCTTTGTCACCATCTGCCATGCCCTGAATTTACTCACTTATCTGTTACATGTTCTGTGTCCTTCCTGAAGCTCTGGGAGGGAAGGGACTGTTCTGGTGTCCTTCCCAACTGGAGCAGTGCCTGAAACATAGTAGGCACTTAATAAATATTAATTAGTTGAATAAATGAATGATGAGTGGAAGAATGAATGAAAATAGGTAAATTTTTAAATTTTATTTTATATTTTTATTTAAAAAAATTTAGTTGTAGATGGACACAATACTTTTATTTTATTTTAATCATTTATTTTTATATGGTCCTGAGGATCAAATCCAGGGCCTCACACATGCTAAGCAAGCACTCTACCATTGAGCTACAACCGAAGCCCCAAGTACCTAACCTCTTAGTCATTAAGATGTTCACAGGTTCAAAGCATAAAATATATATCATATTAAGACCTAGAAAGAGGCCCATTAAATTCTATCTCTGTCTCTGTAGCTGGAAAGATTCTAACTAGTAGGAGGTACTCACTGGTGGCCCTGGAGATCCTTCAGGACCAGGAGGGCCTGGGTCACCTCTTTCTCCAAGAAAGCCAGGCAGTCCTAAGTCTCCTTTACTCCCTTGCCTCCCAGGAAGTCCTGGAGGGCCAGGCGGGCCCACAGGACCAGGTTGGCAGGCACAGAGTCCTTCATTTCCTAGGCAAAGGATAGAAGTTATCTTTGTCACATTTCCTGAACAAAATCCCCAATAAGAGCTTTACTATACAAAAACAGTAGTGTGAATACAGAACAAAAAGACTCTGATGTACACAACTCTTATTACAAAGGATTATGAGGGATGGGGCAGGTTTCAGGGGTAGCTAGACATGGTCCCTATGAGGTGAGGTGAGTGTATGTAAACTCAGGGAGTGTTTCGGGTCTTAATGAACTCCCCCTAATAAATTCTAGGGAGAAAACTGAGATCCAATTCCACTGAAGGATTGAGAAGTCTTTATTTGGTTTCCATTGAGGAAACAAACAAATAAATAGGAGATAAACCCTGAATAATCAAGGAAACAAAATAATATATAAAGAGGGATTATTGATGGCATTGCTTGTGACAGTTGCTAATTCAGCACAATGCAGTGCCAAGTCATCAGGACTTTTAGTCTCTAAAAAGGCCTTTAGGTGAAACTCCTCAGTTGTATTTCTGTTCTATTACTACCTTAGTTGCTCAAAAAGACTCAATTACATTCAGAGTGGAGAAACATAGAGGCCCAGGCATTCAATGAGTCTGGAAAGTGCAGGACCCACAGAGAGAAACTAGAATAGTATGTCAGCACTGTCCTATTTCTGCCACTCTGAAGGAATCAAGAGGACCTTGTGAGTAGAGTCACCCTTTGGGTGTGAGTTGCATTCATGGCTAAGAGACAGGAGTGGACATGATGGTGACTTAGCCACAGTGCAGCACAGAATGCTGAGGTGGCCTCACAGGGAACAGCCAAGGTGGATGGCTAATGGGGATGAACCGTCCCACAGTGCACCTCACAGAGCCCCAGACCCTGCACCTGGGGTTGTCTCCAAAAACCTTTCCCTGAATCACACTTGCCTTTTTCTCCTTTTGAGCCTCTTCCTCCTGGGGGACCTACTTTGCCCTTTATTCCTGGTGGTCCCGGGTGCCCAGCACTACAATATATCGCTGTACAGTGGGCAAGAGGGGCAGGGAGAGTCACATCGTTTTGGTTAATGTCTTCAATTGAAAGAGAATCTCTCGCTCACGTCCTCCTCCTCCCCCTCCCCGTTCCTCTCTCATCCCCAAGCTCCAATCCCTTTTTTCTTAAGGATTCTCTCTCCTGATATAGGAATATGAACACATACAGATCATGTGACTGTCGTGGCATGGCCTAAGAGCTGACAGAGTCCTCGTTACTCTCAGCCATAAATTAGAGAGCTACAGAACTAGGTAGTGGACAGCAACCACAAAAACACATCAAACAAGTTTCTTCTTCTTCTTCTCCCCCCCCCATGGGGTGTATGGAAAATATTTTTTCCCTTCAAATAACAGTCATTAGTTAATGAAGAAAAACATAAAGATGGCTTGGAAAAGCAAAATGTCGGAGGCGTTGGGTTAAAGATGACAGATAAAATGCCAATGATAAATTCCCTAAATCCTGGTAGAATTAAAGACAGTAAAAGAATATTAGAAAAAGGCATAAATCTACAAGACAAAGGAAGAGGAACAAACAGGCAAAAAATGAGGCAGGAAGTCCTTGTCCACCCTAAAACTGCTGAAATCCGAGCAGGCTGTGGGGAGAGCTGGGGAAGAACTGGTTCTGTATCAGAATCCGCCCTCACTGGAATGATGGTGAGGCCCAAAGAGGGATTTGTCAAAGAAAGAGACAGGAAGAGCCCCTTCCCCAAAACTGCAGCAGGAAACAAACAATATCCCTTCCAACCGTAACACCCGAAATTGGAGGAAACCGACACGCACTAAGAACAACAGTTATAGAAACTGGGCAACTTATATAGCAGATGAGGGAGAGCATTCCACCCCGAAACAAAAGGAAACGTTAATAGAGAAGAACACAGAAACAGAAATACGCACATGTTAATCATGAGAGTTGGAAAATGGAGTCAATGACATCTCCTCCAAAAAATGTAGAAAATAAAATGATGACGACTAATCAAGAGAGATTAGTACTTAAACTCTCAAATAATTGCACACACTTTGATATGATAATCCAATTTCAGCTTATATTTGCAATAGATTTTAATATCATTAAGTTGGCCCATGAAACATGATATACTTTTTTGATATTTAGAGAGTCCTGCTTTCCGAATGAACCTCACATATCAAATGCAGTATAAATACCAGTGAATGCAAAGGAGGGATACTTTACCATCTGATCCTGGGCGTCCCTGCAGCCCTGGAGCTCCAGCCTGGCCAGGTAGTCCTGGCCTCCCCGGCTTTCCTGGGGCAGAGTCGGGTCTCCCAGGAATACCGGCTAGCCCAGGAAACCCTGGAGGACCAGGAAACCCTGGTGGCCCAGGGGGTCCCACCATGCCTGCAAGAGAAATTAAGAATGAAAAACCACACAGAGTAAATATTTCTGTAGATGAAATGAAAATCAGTGTGTTCTTCTCCAGATCATGAGATTTCTTAAAGGAAAAAGGATGGAACAAGAGGACGTTAGGCTCAGTGAAATAAGCCACACCCGGCAAGAGGAAGACCACATGATCTCACTTACATGTGGCGTCTACAAACCCATAGAAGCAGAGAGTAGAATGGAGGATGTCAGGGCTGGAGGAAGGGAGATGGGGTGATATCGGTCAAGGGTTCAAAGTCAGCTATGCAGGATGAGGCAGCTCTGGAGTTCTAATTACAGCATGCGGTGGGAGTTGACAACACTGGACTGTGTACTTGAAATTGCTAAAGGAGAGATCCTAATTCCTTTCATTACACACACAGATGATCACTATATAGAAGTGACGGACATGTCAATCAACTGGAATGTGGTGATCATTTCACACCATATGCCTACATCAGAACATCGGGTAGTAGACTCATAATTTTAGGTTAATAGAATCTCTCTCTCTCTCTCTCTCTCTCTCTCTCTCTCTCTCTCTCTCTCTCTCTCTCTCTCTCCATATATATATTCCTTCTTTCTGAATGACCCTGCATATATCAAATGTAGTATAAATGCCAGTAAATGCAAAAGAGAAACAATTTCCTTTTTTTTTTTTTTTTTGGTACCAGGAATTAAACCCAGAGGCACTTAACCACTGAACCACCAGCTCCTTTTTACATTTTATTTAAAGACAGGGTTTTGCTGAATAGCTTAGGGCTTTGCTAAATTGCTGAGGCTGGCTTTGAACTTGAGATCCTCCTGCCTCAGCCTCCCTGGGATTACAGGCATGTCCCACTGCACCTGGAAGATAAAACTATTTTTTTTAAATAAAAAGAAAACTGTTCTCTATGATAATGCTCCAAAAAAGGTGATGTTTAAGAAGTTTGTTTTTCCATAAGGCAGATTGCTACCTACCTATAAAACAGGAGTTATAATAATCTGAAAAAAACCATATTTTTAAAGAAGGGGGAAATGAAAAAAAAAAAAACAAAACCTGAATATCCCAGCTATTAAAATGCCTCACCTCCTTTGAATAAATGATACAAATGGAAACATACAAGTTTGAAGAATCAAATTTTCTTACTTTTTCCACATTTTTAGGGTTACTGGGAAAGAAGTGCTTTTTATTTAATTAAAGTTGTTATCTTTTCAATTTTTCCACCTTAATAACTTGGTAAAAAATAATTCAAATACACCTACAAGTCCATGTAATGGCGAAAAACATAGATTCACATAATTATCTGTGTGGAATATAAAATACCCTACTTCTCACAGCAACTCAGGGTGGTGGGGAAGCACAGAGGTGAGATTTGAATTTGGCCTCTCTTGCTCTAGCTACAGGATCTTAAATAGGTTGTTTAGCCAGCAAATCCTCTGTATCTACTTGGTAGGCTTGTTATGAGGATTAAACAAAATAATCCACTCAAGGAGTTTAGCACAATATTTAGCAATAACAAGGTGTTTAGGGTATTCAGACAAAGTCCAAACAAGTAATACAACTGCAGGAAATCCTGCCTGCCCTTGACATCTGTGATGTCTGTGGCTTAAAGACAGTGGCTGGAAGCTTGGGATGAGAGTAACCACTTCTGATAGCTCCTTCTGCCTAAGCTTGCTTGGTTCCTGAATCTTTCCATGGAAGACTGCATTTCTCAAAGATGGCCCCACAATAGCACCAGTCCCACATGCCCCTGTAGAACCTTGACTTTTCCCTATTGAGAAAAGGGGTGTTCCCTTCCCTTGAATGTGGCCCTTGTGGAAGACTCTTGCCTTGTAAGCTGAGACATTTGGGACTTGGAGTTTGGTGTGACCAAACAATCTCAATTCTCTGCAGTCCCTGGTGCTGTGAGGAAGCCTAAATTAGGTAGAAAGTCCATCTAGGGCACCTGGAACTACACGAGCAACAGGAAAGAGATGCTGAGCCAGGCCTGAATCTCCAGTCCCAGCCCCTTCTGTGATTGCAACAGGGGGAAAATCCAAAAGTCAGAATGGCTCCCTTCAGCCCTTCCTGAACTCTTGAACTTCAGAGTTAGAGGTGACACACCAATTGCTGTTGTTTCAAACCTCTAGGTTTTAAGTAGTTTGTTCAGCAGTAGACAACTGAAACCTGTCATAATGGGTAAGCATAGCATGCTGGGTAAGTTAATGGCTACCATTAATGTATACACATGTGCTGGGGCTTTGCCTATGTTTGCAAAAATCATCTTTCCTCCTCAAAGAACTCTGCGGAGTTTATACCTTACAGATAAGGCACAGAAAGTTTAGGCCAAGTATCAGTGACAATAGTAATAGCTCACACATTGAGATTTTGCTGTACACCAGGCTGAATTTGAAGGACTGTATACATATAACTTTTTCAACCCTAACAAGACTCCCTATTACAGATGGGAAACTTGTATGTAGTAGAAATTAGAATGTTTCTAGTTCATAGTGTAAATTTCTAAGAGTTTTACTATCCTAATTGTATTATGTGGTTTCCACTGAATGGTAAGGCTGGGATTGGGTTATCATTGACTGACTCTGAAGCCTTTCTTATCCCATGGTAGATACTACAGATAATTATCAAATAAAATTTTTATAACAGGGCTAAAAATATGGGTGTACTTAGAACAGATAAAAGTGTGCCCCTGTGCATTTGGCGACCATCTGGACTTCCTGCCTTCCTGGGGAGCTGACTTGGATTCTCCACATCCAGTCTGTGGTTGATGTGGTTGCTGCCTTATGTCTTGTTTCAGGACAAGGAGAAAGCTGATCCATCTGGGTGGCATATCTCAGCCTTGCCCCACACAGAAGAGCATGACATCAATTAAATTGTGTCTAACATCACACAAAAAATTTTTTCAAAAGAATGAAATGGAAAAAAGAATGTATCTTATACCAAAAAGGTATTATTATGTTTCAATCTGTGTGGATAGAAAGTTGTACATGTAATGTAAAATAAAAGCACATACTATGATGGTTTATAGTCAAGATTCAAAAACCATTGGGTCTATTTACTTGAATAGGGCTGTGGAATTGAGAATTTTCCTGTCTATTTTGATCTGAATCTGCTAGTGACCCTTTTTACTTCCTCCCACTGTGTTTTGATTTCAATCTCCAGGAGACATTATTTTATTATAAACAAGCCCCAAAGGAGAAATCTAAGACCAGAGTTCAGTGCTTTCTGACCAACAGAATATTCTATCTGATTTACATAATCCTAGGTTAATTAAGCCAAGATTACATTAGCTTTAAATGAATTAAACAAAGCTCATTACTTTTGTGGTCATCACATCTTACAAAGAGGAAAGTAGATTTAAAGATCATTAAACAAGAATTTTGAAGTTAGAAGTTGAATATCTCAGGAATCTTCTCAGGCCCTCTTGGTAAATATAACAAGAGGTACTGGCTAGATGAAATTACATTCATTCAACAGATGTAGTCAATTCCCCTGGGTGCAGAGAACACACACATTTTCCAACCTTTTTGATCCCTAAACTTGCCAAGAATACTGACCAGCACAGCTCCCAGAGGAGTTGGAGTCCTTGTATCAGTTGACCTCTTTCCCAGGCTTTCTGTCCAATGTCACTGTGACCTACAGTTTTGGGGGCTCTTTATGGTGAGAGTGGAAAGCCTCTTGTTTTTGAAGTAAGGCTAAATCAAAGTTTCCTTTTGCAATCATCATTTTTATCTGCACATTTCATGGAGAAGAGTTAGATTGGGGCCTAGGTGGATAAAGAGAATTTTACAAGTCTGTGGCAACAGGGAGAGCCTTCCAGGAGACTGGGGAAGCTGAGGAAACACTATAACCCAGCAGCAGATTCCATAGTGTCTGAGGTGACAGTTCTGTAGGAGGTCTGTTATACGACCCACACCTTCCTCGCAAGACCACTCTGTTGACTGACCATCTCTGAGGTCCAGGTGAGGAACCCATATTCCTTCCAAGTAAGTAATTGACTGGTTTGCGCACAATGCTCCTTAACCCTGGATGTGCACTAGAAATTCAGAGCCCAGCATTCTGAATCTGCTCTGAATGCAAGCATCAGTTTTCTTTAGAGCTGATCTCAATCTCAACTAAAGTTGAGGATCACAGGTGTGTGAGGTAGGAAATCTGGCATATGAGATATAGTGGGTTCCTACCTGGACAAGTGTCTCCTGGTCTGCCAGGGTGACCTGGGGGACCCGGTGGTCCAACAGCCCCCATTTCTCCATAGCGGCCAGGGAACCCTGGGTCCCCTGGAGGACCTGCCAAAGATCATGACAGATGTGAATAAACAAAATTTAGTATACATTTTAAAATTCAGACATAATGATTTTTGCGGGGGAGGCTTGGTAAAGTCTAATTAGGAGACTCAAGCAGTTTCCTGCCACATTTTAAGTGGAATATCTTAGACGGGATAGCCTTCTGCCATCCCTTCTCTGCAAATACATAAACTTTGAGCAGAGTTCTCTTATTGATTTAGGCCATGCCTTTCTTGGCTGTAGCATCTTGTTTATGTTAGTAAAAAAAATGATCTGATCCATTTTGTGGCAATTAAATAAAACTATTTTCTGATGGATGACGTAATAAAAATCCCAGCATACAGTTTACCTACTGAAATAAAATGTGATGTCTTATGGCAATAGACATGAACTAGGATGTACAACTCTGCATCTTTTCCTGCACATGTAGAATCTATTCTCCTGCTATACTTTATGTATTTAACCTTCCTGATGTACAAGCTACAAGACCACTGGGCCAGACTCTTTTGTCTGGATCGCTGAAATCCCATTTCTGCAAAAATTATAAGGGAACAAAAAGGAACACAAACCTTTGAGTGGAAGAGATGGAGTTACCAAAACACCTGGTGGTCCAGGGTACCCACGGTCTCCAGGATCCCCCTGAAATTATTCATTCAATTTTTTTCAGAAATACTATTATTTCAATGGTGTTGCCTTGGTATTAAACATATGTTAGAAGGACTGTGTTCATTCTTATAAGAAGTCAAGATTATAGGCTGACTAGAGAAATGATTGACTTATGGAATCTTAGGAGGACAAAGATATACCTAATCTCCAGCCAAAGCATAGAGTTAAATGGTGAACTGACAAAGCTTTCACAAAAGAAAAATAAATTTTAACTCCAACAAAATTATTCTACTCCCATAAATTAAATTCTTCAGGAATCACTCAATTTCTTGGATGTACTCTGATCACTTGGTACTCTAGTGCAAATAGCTTATTCACCTAATAAGATCGGAATCTACATTTTATTTTAGATGCAAGTATTGTCTTCTTTAACTACGTCCTGAGCTAGGACTGAATGTGAGGTCACAGAGGTTACAAAAGAAAGAAAAAAATGCCATGGTGGTAAAAAGCAGACTGCTCTTCAAGACCCCATCTCAATACTATGTAATGCCATGCAATTATTGAAACTTTCACTATTACCCCGTTTCAAAAGAATTATTTCTCAAATGTAAATCATAATCATGCTTAATATGATAATGATTTGATAACATAGTAATCATGCACAATAATGTAGGGCACACATAAAAATAATGTACATAAAATTCACTCTTTCGAAAGTTACACTTTTGATTCTTCAAAATATTTTTGAAATAAATTTGATAACATAAAGGGTATAAATTTTTATCTTAAATAGTTTCAGTCATTTACTTTTGGGCCAAGAAATCCAAACAGCCCAGGATCTCCAACCGGTCCTTGTTCTCCCTAAAAACAAGCAAAAACATTCATTTTAAAAAATGACATATGATCAGGTGACATGTTGCCTCAATTTCATTTAATTTGGACAATGCATGCTCACTCAGACCCGCTCTCAACACTGCTCTGGGGCTGCATCAGGCAGTTTAGTGCTTCAGGTTTTGCACCCACAGCTAAATCCTGCAATCCATAAAATGAATGCTGGCCTTTCCAATTCTGTGAATGTTGGCATGCAATAGGGCAACTTGTGATTGATTCTGAACTGCATTTGATAATGAAAATGCATCTATTATCACTATAATGGTGTATGTTTACCTTTAATCCTGGAAAACCTGGAGATCCGTAGGAACCAGGGTCACCCTAATAGATGGATGAAAATGAACAAGCAGGGTTAAATCAAAATGCACATGTCCACTCAATGCATTATTATTTTTTTAACCTTAGATTGTTCTATGGATATTTAGTCTTCTTTGCAAAGGTAGGTGAATAAAAGGAAATAAATATAAAAAGGATTCCATTTCTTTATGACATCTGATACTTTAATTGATGTTTAGTCTTATTAAAAACAACTCATATGATAGCCAGTGTTTCAATTAAGAATGTGTTTCTATTGCTGTTGTTCTTCCAATTTTATTTAACTTAATGCTTGCACTGCACCAAAAATGTTTGAAATCACTGCAATATAATTTGTCTGAAAATTCATACTTGCTTTATTCAACATCACCAATAAAAATGGCCATGGAAGCCAATATTGAAACAGTCAGTACCAAATCTAGGTCAAATAAGCTCAGTGCCCGCACCATCTGGGAACTGGCCTCCATAGTGGAGCATCCCACTAGTGACATGTATGATGTCTGGGGCCTGACATTGTGCTTTTCTTCTAGCAACTATCCCTGGACCAGCACCTTATTTTATGAAAGGGCCTTAAATTAACCATTCCAAGTGACTATCACATTGACTCTGAGCCAGAAGGACAATGTCACCACCCTGTCCCTTTCCCCAATTCTTCTGTCTTCTGTGTGCTTGTTTCATCTAAATGAGGTCAACAGAAGAGATGTCTTGGGACATACACAACTCTTGTTGTGCAAAGTATATTGTTCTTATGTGAGGTATTCTCCAGTTTTGAGCTCATAGGAACACAGCTCATCACACAATGTGTGAAAGATCCTGGCCTCCAGATTCACCAGAGTTAATGATGAACGATCCTTACCCGAGGTCCTGGGAATCCAGGAATACCCTTCTCTCCTTTTTCACCAATACCAGGCTCTCCCTTTAAAAGATGACAATGTTTAGAAAGGTTCAAGCAACAATCTTTCATCAACATGGAAAGAAAGAACAAAATGAGAAACAGAAAAACAAATACTGTCCGACAGCTTACAGAAAACTACTTTAGAATAGAGGCCCCATAGGATTATAGCAAGGTGAAAAGTTCTAGTAAGATATGTTAGCATCTAAAGCAATGCCAAGGACCGTGTAAAATAAAATTTGGAATTAAGATAGCATCTCATACAAATGAAAATTAAAAGGCCCTTAAATAAACTACCTTATGTCCTGGTGGTCCCGGCAATCCAGTCATCCCATGAATTCCTTTTATACCCTAAAAAATCCCAATGGAAATAATCTGACTTATTATTTAGCATACTGAATTCTATCTCTTCCAGAAATCACCTCTTGTGACGACCTGTTTCACTAGTTTACTATAATGAGGAATTGTCCGTCACCGGTCACAGTCTGCAGCTGAGATGTAAACACTACAACTCTGACCCTGTTCAGACCACAGGAGAAGTATAGAAGCATGGGGGTGGACTACCTTGGAACCGGGATACAAACAGGGAATTCTGCAAGTTGGAGATGCAGCCGTGGAAAGAAGTGGCCCATTTTGAGTCGGGCGGGGAAATTTAACCAAAAATTGAGAACAACAGAGCCTAATGTAGACTTGGTAATATCCATGCTGGAGGCTGACAGAGGAATTCCTACTTGCAGAGTGTCTATTATGTGTCTACCTCTGTGCATTTGTTACCCTTTCGATCATCAAAACATTAAATCCATCTACAACATCTGAAGGACAACTGGGACCTGAGTGGCCTTTTCTGTCCACATATCAAAACAACATTCAGGAGGCCCTACGTTTTGGAGGACTGGGCACGGTTTAGCAGCCCAGCTAGGTTTGCCACTCAGCAGCTGGGTAGCTTTGAGAACAGGGGTTGCAGGGATGCATATGAGGAGCTCAGCACTCTGGGGCCATAGGTACATGTTCAGAGAATACTTTCTATTACAACTTCACCAAAGTGACTTATGGACGGGGTGTTACCTTCTCTCCTTTGTAGAGACTAGAATCAGGGGGCTCTATCAATAAGGTGGGTCCAGGAAAACCTTGCTGGCCAACCTCACCCTTTAAAAATATCAAGAGAATAGAAATTTCATATTAATTCACATTTTTAAACAAAGAAAACTTTCACCCATGCATGATGGTATAATGCTTCTAATCCTGCATGTCATGAATTTAAAATACCAATCATGGCAAATGCATCATATAATTTAAAATATTTTTAGCAAAATGTAATAAATGGTTATGGTTAAAAATAAATTTAAAAAATCAAAATGATCCATAATCTTACCATCTAGATATGATCTCCATTAGAGGTTGGTATAGTTTTTTAGTGGTGTTAAGTATCTCCACATATATGTGTGCATATATAATATGTATTGACATATGTGTACATACATATATGTGAATAAGTGGTTTGTTAAATGCAATTTAACATGTACTATTATGAGGATAATCTATATAATTACTTAAGCATAATTTAAAATATAAAATATAATTTTTATTTTATTAAATTCTTAAGTAATTTTATATTTTTATGACAATATTTTGTGATAATTTTCCTATCATACTAAAATTTCAGAATCAAGATTTTTAATGTCTACAAAATAATCCATCTTAAGAATATACTATAATATATAAGCCATTCCACTCTGGTTAGAGTTAGTCTTTTTATAGTTTATATTCAAAAAAATTTAGGTTGTTTCATATTATTTTAAATAATATTTTCAATTCTCTGTACAAAATAATTAGCCAAAAGTTTTTGTGTCATTATAGATACTGTTCTCTTGAAGGAAAAAAAAGTACCTTAAATTGATTTTGCCATTAATTCTCACCCTTAACTAGAAGGTAATTATTTTACACTTTTGTGAATATTACCTTTATTCTAAGCTTAGAATTATTCAATTTTTCTTGATGTATCCTGCTGCTTAACAGCATAACACAAGAATCAAAAATATACATGAAAACATCATGGAATGGAGGAAAAGCCCCTAATAAAAGTGGAGCAGAAAGTACAGGTCACAGATATATAAAATCAACTCTGTAAAGGCAAAAATACATTACAATACACACTTAGGGGACTCACAGCCTCAGCACTTCACATTTAGCATTACTAAGTGGCGGCTATACATGTACAGCAATGTAACAACTGCTCTACATGGTGCATCTTACAGATCAATAACACTCAGGTAAATGAGCAGCATGTATGGGTGAGAACTTTCCTTTCTGAGATGACCCCAAATGAAACCCTGAGAGGCCAACAAACCTGATATGTCTTTAAAATATGGGCCACGATAATATTTTTTCATGCTATGAAAGTACCACATATTCAGTGTAGTCAAAAGTGCAAAGAAGGAAAATCCAAAGGCTGAACTATAAAAAGTCCATAATCAGATTGTCTGGAAATAATTAGTCACAACCATTTAGGTCTGTGTTTCTTAAAACAGGATGGGAAAACATATTCTTGAACACAGGAGATATCTGTACCCAAATTCCAAACGATGCTTTCATTCCCCAGCCAATCGAAAAGACTTACTATAAGCATTTTTTAGATCATTTGAGGGGCCAGCCCAGAGCCAAATGCCTCCATGTTATTCTATAGCCTGAGTCTGCAATTGCATTCAGCTGCCGTGGCACTGAATGGCCCTGGCTGGAATGCTTGCCTGGCCCTGTGACACCCTGTCTCAAATGGAAATGTGGGCTTTTGCAGCTTTGGCAAAGGTATTCTTGAGGGTCCCCAATTTCCCAAGTTCAAAAAAGATTGTTTCAGTGTATTTTTCATTCAGTCATAAGTCAGTGGTTCAATAATGGTTTTAATAATTATATATTTGGGAATTTGCTTTGTTCTTTTCTATGTATGATAGTAAACATTTAATGTGCATTATCTATTCAATAAAATAATACTTACAATTATGCAGTATATGACACCCATTTCACAGAGAAGAAAAATGAGGTTTAGAGGAATTTAAGAGAGGTTTGATGGTGGGTTGAATACCCTTTCCCCCGGGGACATTTGTAATGTACTGAGAGTTTTAGTTGTCAAAATGGGGGCTGGGCATGGAGGAGATGCTCCTGGCATCTTGTGGGCAGAGAGAGGTCCAGTATGCCACCAAAGATTCTGCAATACACAGGACAGCTCCCACAATAGTGAGCTATTAGGAGTGCTGAGGTTGAGAAATCCCTCTCTAATGTATATTTTAATATCTTTTTGTTTTTGCTCCTTTTGCAATGTTAGGTTTCTACTTCTTTAACCTGAACTCTCTGATCAACAGTCTATCATAAATATTTCCCCACATCATGAAATCTTCCTATGAATTTTTTATTTTGACATGGGTTCTTGCTAAGTTTCTTAGTGCCTCACTAAGATGCTGAGACTGGCTTTGAACTTGCAATCCTCCTGCTTCAGCCCCCTTAGCTGCTGGGATTACAGGCATGGGCCACCACGCCTAGCTTCCTATGTATTTTTGACTATTGTGTAGTAAAATGACTATCTGTAAAATGACTATCTCAAACTTAAGCATATCAGAACCCCCTGTGAGCAGGAATAAGGTTTGTCCTACCAAGTCTCCACACTCAGTGTCAATCTTGGCCTTACACATAAGAGATTCTCAATATCTTCTTCCCCACAGTTGCTAAAAGAGCCACTCATCTAAGACGTTCAGATTCTTTCCAGATAGCTGCCATCTTAAATCACTCTTCTCAAGCTTATCTTTACTAAGTTTCATGCTTCAGCAGAAAGGACTGTGGGTGTAAGGGAGGCAGGAGAGGGGACCTTGAGGGGGTTGGGGGTGAAGGGGACATTGAGGAGAAGTGGAGGGAGGGTGAGCATGTTACTAAATGCGCTTGGATCCAGTTACTTATATTTATGTATGGAGTTTAGGGTTTTAATGAAATTAACTCAAACAAATTAGCAATTACACAAAACTGCCACTCTAGATATATTATTAAAAATGCTAAATCTCTTTTTGCTAGGGTGAAATGTGTCATATAAATTAACTTGAACATAGTGTTAAATTTGGTCAAAACTGCCATTTTATAGTCAGGGGTAATGGTGCCATAATAATTCATCAAAGAGAAATTCTCAGTCATAAAATCAGGCAGACACTAGACCTGAACCCAACGATCCAAGAGCCTACACAACTAGACAGCATGCACATTTCAGCCCAGGATCCTCGTGGCAAAAGGGGGTCCTTACCGGGTCTCCCATCTGACCTTTCACTCCTACACCAGGATTGCCCTGAAAAAGGAAATAAATCTATTGCTTTTGAATGTTAAAAAAGTAATTAAAATTAATTAAGACTACTTATTAACATTTAAGTAAATAAATTAGTTGAGGTTTAAATACTTTGATAGGTGGAAGAAGATAACTGACAGATACAGGTGACCAGTATTTCACTGAGCATGGGCTGTGTCTAGGTATCCTACTCATGACCACCTACCTTCAAACCTGGATTCCCAGGATGGCCCGGAAGTCCCTAAATCAATGACAAAAACCCACAAATCAATTATCAGTCCTAGACATCAGAATATATTTTTTATTGGTTGCCCTAAGTTTATTTGGGAAACAAACATTTGATTTTAAAATGTGCATGACATATTCTCACTCATATGTGGAAGCCCCCTACACACACACACAAAAAGATCTTCTAGCAGTAGAGAGTAGGAGAGTCGTAGATACCAGAGGCTGGACAGGCTGGGAAGGGGAGGAGGGGGCAGGGAGAAGGGTTGTGTAATGGGCACAACAGTTAGGTACTTTTCTAAGAAGTTTAAGTTCTAGTGTTTTATAGCACAACAGGCCAACTATAGTTAAAAATAATTTACTGTATATTTCAAAATGGCTAGAAGAGGGGATTTTAAATATTTCAAAAACAAAGTTTGAAAAATATACAGTTATTATTAATAACAAAATTTGAAAAATAACAAGGTTTGATAAATGTTTGAAGTGATGGGTATGCTAATTACTCTGATTTATCATCATACATGTAAACATGTATCAAAATATCACACTGAACCCCATGAATGTACAGTTTTATGTGACAATTAAAAATAAAAAAACATAAAAGGCTGACTTTTTTTGTACTGGGGATTGAACCCAGGGCAGGGCGCTTTACCACTGAGCTATGTCCCCAGCCCTTTTTGATTTTTATTTTTTTGAGGCAGGGTCTCAATAAGTTACTTAGGGCTTTGCTAAGTTGCTGAGGCTGGTCTCAAACTTGCGCTTCTCCTGCCTCAGCCTCCAAAAGACTGACTTTTTATAGTGGATGGGCTACAGTTCGATATGAATATGAGTACAGTGGCTTATCGCTGGGGTCCCTGTGTGTGAAGATGGATTCCAGAGAGTAATGATGTGATTTTGCTGAATGGACAGATTTTATGACCTCTCAAAGAGCCCACGTATGTCTGAACCAAGACTGAAACTTGACCTTTTTCATTTCTTCTTTTTCTTTTTACTGCATCTTAATGTCAACTCCGGGTTTGTAGAGGGATAGCATCAGCAGAGCTGTACCTACCACTAACCCTGGTGCTCCAGGATATCCCATGGGGCCGGCTGGTCCTCTTGTACCCCTAGGTCCCTATACAGGAGAAAAATCAGCACATTCATTTTGATAAATCATAATCACCCCTTACAGCAAGAGCCACATATAATCAGAATAGATAAAAACCATCGAATTAATCAATCCCCCCGACAGGTCCTCAGCTGGAGCAGTGTCCACAGAGCCGGAGGGGGCAGTCTCCAGGTGGTGGGACAAACCCTACAGTAGGGTCCTGTAAACACCCAGAAATCAATCTACTTTTTTACAAATAAACCTTGTATAAAAAAAGTTGAGAAGAAAACTTGTGGCTAGACTGATAAAATTTCTACATATTGTTATTTTGGTATATATCAGAATGCTTCAAAAACATTGATATTACTTTATGTTAATTAATATTAAAATGTGCATGTATTTATAATGTTTATTGGTTCTTTTTAGCTATACATAACATTAAGACTTGTGTATAGCTTACACAATGATAAGAGCATGGAACACAAATTTCCCTAAGTCAGTCCTTCCTTTTTCCCTCCCTTCTACCTGCCTCTGTTTCCTTCCCTCTATTCCACTGATTTCTGCTATTTACATGGAGATTGTTTTTTAATTAGTGTCTTTTGATATGCCTCGTGGTGAGATCCACTGTGATGTGTTCATAGACATACATAGGACAGTCAGGTCACATTCAGCCACTGTTGCTCCCTTATCCTGTCTGTCCTACCATCTCCTCAATCCCTTTCCTCTATTTCACTGATATTTATTCTATTTTGATGGAATTCCCCCTACCCTTTTCTTTCTTTCTTTTTCTCCTTATTTGAGACTAGTTTCCATGTATCAGAGAAAACATTTGATCTTTGACTTTCTGGGACTAGCTTATTTCACTTAGGATAGTCTCCAGTTCCATCTATTTACCAGCAAATGCCATAATTTCATTCTTCTTTATGGCTGAGTAATACTTTATTGTATATATACGTTTTCTTTATCCATTCATCTGTTGAAGGGCACCTAGGTTGGTTATTACATTTTTCCTTTTACTGTGGCATAACCGTGAACACTTTAGCAAGGAATGGTTACAGTTGGGTCACCCTGGAAGGGTGGAGAGAGGCCCTTTGCTCCACTGCTCCTGTCAAATGATTTGCAAGTATGTAATGAAATCACTCTCATTAGGAGAATGAACAGGACAATTGTTATTTTAACAGTGCCATCAAGGACATCTCACTTTCTACAAGAATAATGTGATCACTGAATCCGACATCTCAGGGAAGGGGATGTGGAGCAAAATATTAAATAGGATATGCAATTGCTAATTTGGCAGGCAAAAATGGCACCGAAAGGCAGAGTAAAATAATTTCCACTTGGTATTTGCAGGAGGCCTATTATACATGGGGTTTTTAAGCAGACTTACCTTCCTAAATATTAAGTGTCTGCATAGACCTGATCAACCCAAATGATGGTTAAGAGAGAAGGGAAGATAAGGGGAGGCCTCATGAGACCAAGGCCTGCCCTGTGGGCCTCAACCTGTGTGCCTGTCACAGATGAACTTCATGCTCTGCTGTCTCCATCTGAAGTTCTTAACAATTGTTAAATAAGGGATCTACATTTTCTTTTGGAATCAGGTGGGACCATCAAATTGTGCAGCTGGTCCTGCTGGGTTTAAAATTGAGTGCATCGTAGGCTATTTGCAGAAGAAAGAGAAGCATGGGGCCTGCTTGGGAGACTTACTGGTAAGCCAGGTGGTCCTGGGTCCCCTCTGTCTCCCTGTAAAAATAGCAACATATAGTTTTATAAGAGCCACACAATTTCCCTAAAACACACAGGATGTAAAAATGAGAACACACATAGGAATTATTTAGACTGGACTAAGGGTGGGGTTTGCTCAATTTTTTAGTGTTGGGAAGATCAACACTGGGGATGTGACTGTCCTTCTCCATTCCCAGGCCCTGAATTCTCCTCCTACTCAGTGGGGACTGGAAAGTCATGATGACATAGAATGAAGACTGCCTTTCTGTTTAAATTTATCTAAGTTCTCACTGCACTCTGGCCCTTCTCCTTGCAGTTTGCCTGTCTCTGGTCTCATGGACACACCTGGCCTTGCTCCTTCGACCACCCTACAGGGGATGTAGAAGGGGCTCTGGGGAGTGTCTCTCAAACTTGCCTCTGTCCAGACGTAATGATCGACTCTGCACTGAGACTCAACCTGTTTTAGGTGTGTATTCACTTGGATATAGACTCTTAAAAAACATAAGTTATGCATAAGATATCTTAACCTCTTTGGGGCGTACAGTTATTTCTGTGGCACTCAGTGCATGCGCATTATTATTCAAGCATGACCATGGCCTACCTCCAGACTTTTTCATCTTCCCCAGAGAAAGCTCTGTACTCATTAGACACTAATTCCCCCAGGGGCCCCCGCAGCCCCTGGCAACTGCCACTCCACTTTACTTCTCTAGGAGTTTGACCACCGAGGGCCTTATGTAAATGGAATCAATATCTACCCCTTTCCAACTGGCTTATTCCGCTTAGCATTATGTGATCAAGGTTCATGCTTATTGCTGCATGTGTCAGAATTCCCTTCCTTTTAAAGGATGAAGAATACACATTTGTAGGAATGCACCCACCCATACTCATTTGCCTATCCGTTCATCTGTTGATAGACACCTGGGCAACTTCCACTTTGGGGCAATTGTGAAGAATGCTGCTATGGATTCAAAAGTACCTGTTCCAGACTCTGCTTTCAGTCTTTTGGGTTATGTACCCCAGAAACGAAATTGCTGGGTCATATGGGAACCTGGGTTTAATTTTTTGAGGAACTGCTCTATTGTTTTCCACAGCGGCTAAGCCATTTTACATTCCCACCAGCAATGACCGAGAGGTCCAACTCTCTGGGTAGCTGCCAACACCAGTTAGTTTTGTCATTTTTTTATAATAGCCATCTGAATGGGTCAGAAGTGGATATGGACTTAAGAACATGGTTTCTCAAAGTTATTTGATCTACAGACTGTTTTTATTTAGTTTCTGCTTAAGACAAGGAATTCTCTATACCTCCTCTCTTTCCATGAGTATTCTATCATCACAGTTACAGAAAGATAATAATAATCCCCATAACTAATATAGGAAGTACGTTACAGTTTACAATATGCTGCAATTTGAATTGTTATAACAGGTCATCTTGATAATGCTGAGAGGAAAGCAGGGTAAATAATATTTTAATTTTCTTTCATAAGGAAGGGAAATGAGTGTCAAGGGATGACTTGAGGTCACATGGTAACTAAGGGTCAGTCTGCTCATTCCAACACAACACATTGGCTCCTAGAATGACCCTGTTTTGCTATGAAGTTTATTATATTGTTTAAGCATTAAGCAGAATCATAGTTCTTGCTGTTCATGTATGAATGGGGGCAGAGACTACAAATAAATACTGTGAGCTCTCAAAAAGGATCAGCACTCTAGTGTGGCCACAGAACTTAGGGTCTAGTAGCAGTCTGGGATGAGTTTTAACTAATTGTGGTAGAATATTCTTCCTTTAGAGGGTATAACCATATGTCTTGAAAATGTACTATATTTTCTCTTGATCATCATTTTTTCTGACCATCCTTTATTTATCCATGACGTCTTATATTACAGAGATGAGTTGGTCACTCAAGAGCTTATTTTGGAATGTTTGTACATCAGTGTGTCTGCTAAAAACACAGAAGCACTTAATTTATAAATGATAGTGCTAGAAGATTTCCATAATTCACAAGATCAATAGTGGTGACTTATTATACATGAGGACAAGTATTACTATTAGAATATTTTAATTATGAATAAATGAGTGGTCCTCAACAAGGGCTGATTTTCCTTCAGGGGACACTTGGTCATATCCGGAGATGCTACGTGCACCTAGTGGGTAGAGTCCAGAGGCCAGGCAAGCTGCTCAATATCCTACAGTGCTCAGAAAAGCCCCCACAGCAACTGATTATCTGGCCCCAAATACCAACAATGACAAACTTGAAAAATCTTGAAATAAATGTATCCTTGCAACTCTGAGATGAGGAGACACTGGAATTATATAGCCATAGCGGCTAAGGCCATTGCCTTCACACAAGAAGCAAGGGGCCATCTAAGTATGTCAGGGCAATGATAAAAAATCAATGCATCCAGTGACACTCCTCAGGAAATCCCTGTCCAAGTGTTTCCCACACAGCTCACCTCCTTAGAAGAAGAAAAATTTCCACCCACAATGATCATAATACTTACCTGAATACCTTTAATGATACCTAAAATGAACACTGAATCTCCTTTTTCTCCATATTCTCCAGGAAGGCCCTGGAAATAAAATATTCACTTAAGAGGAAAAAGAATATTACTATTTCAATATTTTCTTTTTTGTATGAAATATTACTCACCAGTAAAATTGCCATTGGAGCAATTTCACTAGTGGAGATTTATCATCTTAATTATTATTATCATCCTAAAGTTTTCATATAGTTAGGGTCTGTTAAGGAATCTTCTAAGACAGAGTATTCACTAATATATAGTTATTTACTCATTATTCAGCTAGAAGATTGCATTTTCCTCACCATATAAAGTATAGACATTATTCTTAAAAATATCCAATTCTGCAATTTTAATCTATGCACGAGAAAAAGTTAAAAAATGAAAGTATTGTTTTTTTATCCATTTCAGTGTTTGTATTTAAAATAGAGCTTATATTCTACATAAGACTAACTTTTCAAAACTATAGCATGTTCTTTTGGGAAGATTTTTGTATGTAGCTACTATTGGCTTAGGGTATTTTTTTTTAAGTGAATGAAAAGTCTCAAAGTATTTCCTTCACAGGTTTTTCTATGTTATATCTTAATATCCTATTTAATATCTTAATATATTTTAAGTTGGTTGCCTTATAAAAATTTTGCCTTCTTCATTCAAACTATTATGAAAAAAACATACAAATTTCAAATTTGACCTGACTTACAAGAGCACCAGGTTTTCTTCCAATGGGAAATATTTGAGGGTTTTATGGTGATATCAAGAGTTTGAGGACTCACATGTGCCTATACAGAGCAATTGGCTTTATACAGGTCCAATCTGCATGAATTCAGTTCCATAGTTAACTAATACAAGTCCTCCAACAACAGGGTACAAACTTTAGTTCCCATCATAACTGAAATTAGTTGAGTAACTGCAGAAAGACCAAACTTCCCTGCTAGTTCTTCAGTGCACAGGTCACTACAGGAATAAGAGATGTCAGTCATGATCACTGAAAGACGATGTCATTCTTTCAAAGCCTGTCTGTGATTGTTTCCTGCACGTCTATCATTCAGAGCACACGCACAGACACACAGACAGCAAAACACAGAGATGTGCTGTCTCTTATCTCCCCCAAATGACATGTTACAAAAATGGGTCCATGAAAGAGGGAATCAGCCAGCAAAGACCAAATGAATGAAAAAAATGTCCACATTGAAAGTGACATCCAAATGGAGCTGACCAGGAGAATGTGGACCCCACTGTTGTTCCAGGGACTTCACACACACAGCCTGAAGGCAGGGGGACAAACTGTGCAACATAAAGAGGAACGGGTTGTGATGGAAAGAATGAAGATATAACACAGGCAAAAGCTTCCCAGTAAAGGAACCCTGCGAGATGCCCCACCACAATGAAAACCAGTCCACACTTACAAAGGAGTATGACATTTTGCTAACGCATAGAAAACATATTCATTTGGTTTCATAAATCATGCAACAAGAATACAAGCACAGTTCCAACTACTCTTGATAAGTGTTTAACAAAGAAATGAAACACCCTTTGATTCTCAATGTTTTAAATTATAGTATACTAGGTAAATAGTAGTTTTAATTTTTTTATTTCTATTTTTATTAGTGACAGTAAGAGGATTTTTAACACTAACAAAACATATTATTAAATGTCACAGAACAATAGCAAATTATCTCATGGGTCAATAAGGATGCTCTCTGTGATGCTAGCTTGCATGGCCATTGTCACATTACCATGCAAAGCAAGGACTGACTGCCTCCAGAACAAGAGAGGGAAGGAAAGGAAGTTGATTTGCAAAGAGACCACAGTGCCACACTTCAGCACTACTGTCAGCGCTACATGCTGTGTCAAAACTACAGCTTGGAACCCCTGCTGTCTTGGATGTGCGTGGCTCAGTGGAATAAGGTTTGGTCCAATTTGAAGAGCTTAAGAAATGTACATCCAACAGCCTGTGCTCGAATCTCCAAATGGCTGAGTGTGACAGCAAAGGGCGGCAGAGACTCTTCACAGTGAAAGATGGCTATGGTACCTACGTGCCACCACAAGAAAAATGTGAGCTCAGAATTTCCTTGGATTCTGTATTCAGATTAGTTCCACTGGGATGCGGAGCAAAAGAAAGATGCATGAAGAAAAAGTAGAAGACTCTGGTGGTGATCATATGAAAATCTTTTAGAAGAGATTTGGGAAATAATGTTTAATTAGGGAAGAGGAAAGGCTGCAAAATAGTCACAGAAAATAAATTTTGAAAGGTCAAATTATCTTGAATCTTTATTTAAGTGTGTGTGAGAGAGAGGGGGGAAAATAAATATAAAGAATAGAGGACAAATAACAGGTAGAGAGAAAGGGAATATGAAAGAATATCCTTGACTGAAGCTGTGTTTAAATAGAAGTCCACATTTTTAAAGAAAACTAAAGTCAAGAGCACCATAGTTGTCCTTGAGAGCTGACTATTGTCCAGTTTCTGGACATCCATTCCCATCCCTTTCAAATTTATCTTCTTGCCCTACACAAGCTACAGAGAGAAAAGGTATATTTCCCAGACTCCTTTGCAGCTGGATGTGAATTAAGTTCCACTCAGGAGATGTGGAAAGCAGGAGTGAGGGAGAGATCCTTGTCTTGGTCAGCTGCTGCTGCCAAACAGAAAAGTAGAAACCTGTTTGCTGGTATCTGGACATAACAGTGAGAGACAGTGGATAGTGGACAAGCAGATTCCTGACTCTGGATCTCAGCTAAGTGTGAACCCACACCTCTAACTATGATGATAAGTGCAAACTCCCTGTATTAAATCCTTTCTATTTGACATACCTAGACGGAAGTAAACCCCGAATGAAAAGCAATATAAATCTCGCTAATTGGCCTCTCTACTCCATTTTCCTTACTATCCAGCACCCAAAGACATCTTAATGAAACATCAATCAAATAAATTTGCTTCTTTCCTTAAAACTATTCAGTGTCTCCTCATGGAAAAGAAAATCTGGTTCCATCCACAGTCTATCATCAGTCCCTACTCATTCCAGTCCTGTCCACCTCTCTACCCCCACTCTGAGTTACCCCTATTTGTTCACCGTGCTCCAGGCACACTTGCCAGAACGCTGTTTCCTGAACATACCAAACCTACTCCTACCATGGGGTCTTTTCAGTTAAGTTTCCTATGAGGGTGAGCTATGGGAGTCTTACTGGGGGGCCTCCCAAGCCAGGAGCTCCTCTGTGTCCTGGAAACCCTGGATCACCTCTTGAGCCATTGTAGCCATTCAAGCCAGGTTTGCCTCTGGATCCAGGAGGCCCTGGGTGACCCTATAAAACAAAATCATAAGTGAAGGATTTTTGCAAGAATACCATAACACAAAGTTTTATGCAATGTGGATCTCAAATTATGGCAGTTGTGACTCTCGTTTTTATTTGTTTAATTTTGTGAAACTTCCTTTCCCACCTAAAAGTGCTGTGTGGCAGAGTGAAACTAAAAATAAAAAGTGTGGGCCGAATGTGGTGGTGCATGCCTGTGATCCTAGCAGCTTGGTGGGAGGCCGAGGTAGAAAGATCCCAAGTTCAAAGCCAGTCTCGGCAATCTAGAGAGGCACTAAGCAACTCAATGAGACCCTGTCTCTAAATAAAATACAAAATAGGGCTGGGGATGTGGCTCAGTGGTTGAGTGCCCCTGAGATCAATCCCTGATACCCCCCCCCAAAAAAAATACAGTAAATAAAATAAAAAATGTGTAATATGTCAAACTTAAATTAATTTAGTTTGGCGTGTTCTGGAAGATTTTGGAGGAAACTTTGCTTGGAATTCTTAGAATCTAATGAATGAATTGCAAAGGCCCCCAAATACCTCTTCATTCTTCCATCTGATTTTCATGTTAGAAATGAGAGTCTTAAGCCCATTTTCAATCTTAAGACTCAACAGAAAATAAAACATCTATTATGAGCAATACGTTTATTTCAGAACACTGCACTTGAAACTGCAAGTGCATCTAGTTCCCATCTTGAATGGTTTTCCCTTATCTGTTTGAAAAGTTTTCCCTCCACAGAAAACATTTTGGTTTTAGAATTATTGCATAAAATTAAAATGTAAGCACCCTTCCCTGCACCAAGATGACAAAATAAAAGCCAATTTGCCCAATATATATGCTTTTTGAACATGTGATCTCAAAGGTTATAATTAATGTTTCTTCCTTCTTTGAAAAAAATGGAGAAATTTAGTGATACTTACAGGTACACCATCCAAACCTGAAAATCCAGGAACACCAGTTGGACCCTAAAAATCCCAGAAAACAAAACAGATTTTAAAATTCCTAAATTCTTAGATTAACAATTTGATTTACAACAATTTGAATAACTGATGATGCATTAAAAAACACTTAGTGGTCATTGCTTTTATATTGATGAGTTTAATCTTTGGGGAAGGGGGAGGTGAGGATGAGCTGGGTATTGAACTCAGGGTCTCATGTGCAGTGGGCAAGTGTTCTACCACTGAGCCACATCCCTAGTCCTAGGCTCATGAGTTTAAGCACCAATGATTAAGAGTGTTTTGGTGAATACTTAGGAGGGCATTTTGCAGTGCCAATTCAAATATAGCACTCAACATGCTAAATCAGAAATTTAATTTCTCACAATCTATCCTGGAGTAACAAACTCTTCAATGTGAACAGCAATATATGGGGTTACTTTTGCACACTGGGACTAAACAAAGTCGGGGGAGAAATTCAGATTCTCGTTAGCAGGAAATAAAATACAGTCTTATTCACACTATGGTGTATGATACCATATTATTAAAGGAATACATTCAATTTGTATCAATTAATATAGAAAAATCTTTAAGACATATTGTTGAGTGGAAAAGGAAGAGTTTAGCATGATACACAACATTATGTTATTTAGGTTTTTGCCAACCCCCTAAACAATGCCACGTATCAGTGGTACCCACTTAGGGGGTTTAAATGTATAGAGAAAGGTCTAGCTGGGCCTGCTCCTCTGGAGCGGGGAGTTGGGATGAGGATTGGTTGTGGCAGAGGAATTCAGACTTAATTTATCACAAGATGTGAGTATGTACTGCTGGTGATCATAAAAACCTAGCAGAGCAGTACTGGTGAGAGGGAAATGTGAGTCTTACCCTGAAGAAGCAGCTTACCTTATCTCCTTTCTCCCCTGCTGCTCCTGGAAGGCCAATGTCACCTCTCAGTCCTTTCTCTCCTGGAATCCCAATGGGCCCAGGGGGCCCCAAGGGCCCTATTGGACCCTGTGGCCCTAGTGGTCCTGGTTGACCCTGAGAAGGAAGGAGGCATGACGTGATTTTTATGTAGTGTCTTCTAACACAAATATATAGTCACTCAGGTCCATGGAAGGCTAGAAAGTTCAGAGTTTGAGCAAGTTCTGATAACAGAAACCCAAGTGTTTAATCGAACCCTAAGAAACCCAGCCGTTGCCTTTCTCAATCTGAACTCAAGCTGAATGATACTTTTGCAATATTGCCTGTGTGTGTGTGTGCAAGCATGTGTGTGTCAACATACGTAGGCTGATGGTGGTTCTTATACTATTTTAATTCCTTCGATTGCATTTATAGATCCCCAGCTGTTAATGAAACATAGAAATAAAGTTACCAGTCTTATCACCACTGTGTGAGTGACATGCAGGTGGGAGGAGAACCACCACATCTTTTACTTACTTCAGATGTACTTCTGATGATTTGAGGTCTCAGGACTATTATCTGATGTGAGATGAAGGGATGCTTCATCATGAGCCATCACAACACGGGTCACCCACACGTGAAGACCTGGCTATGTGACCCCAGGCATGGTGGTCTCCAGTGAGTCCCCTGAATGGCAGTTTCGAAGCACACAAGTTGTACCTCCAGAGTTTGAGTGCACTCTTAGTGTTCATTTGAAGTCAGGCTGTGATTTTTTTGTGCTTCTTAAAAAGTTTTCCAAAGATTTTCAAGAAAAATAATTTTATATGCCCATGTCCCCAAACTCAACCTGGGTAAATAGTCAACCAGTAAGTCTGAATTGATTTGTAGACAGAAAAGTTTGAGGGATTTCAGGAGATATCTGTTCATATCAGCTCTCTAAAACTTCTAGGGCAAATACAGGGCTGCCTGTAGGTGTGTGGGGCCCTGAACAACATGTTTCCTGAAGAGTCTCATCTTCATGAACTGTGAGTCACCCATAATTAGTGTACCAGCCCCATCCATCTGGCTACCAACCTCATGTGATTCCATGAAAGAAATAACACATGCTGGTAATTGGGAGTGTCCTGATAACCATCCTCTCTCCTGAACCAGGGAGCCCCAGACAGTCTGTAAGTATGAATGCTGGGTACTTCATGGTCAGCCCCACACTGGAGAGCACCCTCATGGAAATCAATGGTAACAGACCCGATGAGGCTTGGCCCACACTGCTGCTGGCCTTGGCAGAGTGTGTGTGTGAGAGGGGGGTGGGTGCTGAGGCATGGGGCAGGAGTCCTGTAACAATAACAAAGGAATATTCACCACAAAATTATCTGTAAAGTCAGGAAAAATGGGAAATCCTGTGAAATCCACCCACCGGAGACTGAATGAATAAATTACAGTACTTTCATAGAGTAGGTCGCCACAGCCTTCCCACAGCTCCATGCAGCGTGGAACACACATTTCAGTTACCCTGACAGGGTTAGGGAGCTGGGGGTTGACCTGGGGATCACTGGTGGTGGGTAGGAGTGCCTGTGGGCTTTTGGGACTTTGAAAAAGAGCTCCCAGACAGAAAGATGCAGGGTGGGTGCTAAAGTCTGCCAGAGCAGGAGCACTGAAGCTGTGGTCTAAGAAGAGTGTCTAGGGTGCTGATGGCATTTGTAGGCAGCCATTAAAGAAAGCAAAGAGATCTGTCTGGGCTGACATAGAGCACCCTCATGATGCTCAAGAAGAGGAAACAGAGTGATTGTGGGTCCGGGCTCTGCAGTCAGCCCCTGTGCACTTACTAGTTGTGTGATCTTAAGTACATTTCTTAGCCTCTCTGATCCTCAGCATCTTCATCTGTTGATGGCTTATGTCATAAGAAGAATAAAGCCTGCAACGTTGCTTAACGTAGCACCTATCATAATCGATGCTGTTATCATCAGGGATTATTATTATAAATGGTTCATTGTTAAATGAGAAAACACACCATAGAATCCCATGTCATATGACCCCAACTGGAGAGAAACAAAACAAAAGGAGAGATGTTCTCCCTAAATACGCGTTTATAAATGAAGGTTTCCAGAGGCATTTTCAAAAAATGGCATGAGAGAGAAATGGAAGCCAGGGCAGCAGCTTCACAATCCAAGGTCAGAAAGTGTGACCTTTACAATAAAGACCAGTTACCATTTCCCTATTGCCATCAAGTCACGGACCCAACAAACACTATTGATATTCTTTAACTCCCGCCTCAGCTTCACAAGGCAAAACTGGACTTCATGTGCTTTCCCTTTTCTTGATGGTTTTTCGCCCTCATCACAATGGCTACTATTTATTATTTACAAAAATTCTAAAAGCCTAGAATTTTATTTTATTCATTTTTATTTGTGTGTGTGTTGTGTGTGTGTGTGTGTGTGTGTGTGTGTCAGGGCTCATGTTGCCCAGGCTGGTGTCAAACTCCTGGACCTGAGTGATCCTCTGGCCTCAGCCTGCCGAGTAACTACAGGCACACACCATGGCACCCAGCTTAAAGTTCAGAATTTTAAGAGAAGCTGAAATATATATAAATACATGTTACAAAAAAGACACCAATAAAATATGAACTATAATTATATGGGCACAAACCATTTGGGGGCATGGTGAGGACAGATTAATTTAAATGGGTATCACATAAATTCTAAATTACAATCTGAAAGTAAGAATTACGGTGACTTCATATGACCTTTTCAATGCATGTGAACTAATTTTACTTCTAAATTAATCTCACTTCTCAGTAAGATTAATTAACATATGTTGAAAAGCTCCCATTTTTTTCTAAGTATAAGGGTCAGGAAATAACTGCTTTTTCATTAAGTTTAAGAATTACCTTTTTATCTTGCATATAATTTATACATAAACTCCCCAATCATCTTCTGTGAATAAGGTATGTTACAATAATGTATTATTTAGATACATAATAAAGCACACACTTGAATACAACAGGGTAACTGAGAAAGAGACAACCGATTAACTGGCTATAAATCTCTTTAATGTGTTTCATTTTAGACTTGCAATTCTGAATCCAATGAGCTAATGGAAACTTGCAGAGGAAAAAGAAGATGGGAAGTGTTTAACTTAGTGTTGAGAGTGACAAAACTCCACTTAATATAGCATAGAAATGCATCCTGATTTCAGGAAAATAAAAACACTTTGAAAGAAAAGGAAACCAAGACAGGTTATCTGCATTACTGTGGACAACCATCCCTTCCTCTCTTCCCTATTTCTCCTTCCTCCCTTGTCCCCATTTGCCACACAGACCTCCTGGCCATTTCTGAACTAGCTTTGTTGTTTCACAGTTTTTGTGCATGCTGTCCCATCCCAGGCTGCCCCCATCCCTGGCCCTGCTGTCTCTCAGTGCTCTCCTGGAAAGATTTCTCTGATCTCTTGCCCCTTCCCTTGAGAAGTGGATGCCCCTAAGATGCTAAGTCTTAAGCCCTCTCACCAGCTCCTATGATCCTGTCTTGATCTGTGTGTCCCTCCCAACCCCATACTCCTGGACCATGAACTCCTACAGTACAGAGCCTAGGTGCCTAAGATCATGATGGTAAGGAAGGCAGACAGATATATTAGTAAGCTCTCTGTTAGTACAGGAACACCTGAGGCAGATTATTTATTAAGCAAAGAGGCTGGCTTTGGCTCATGGTTCTGGAAGTACAAAGTCCAAACAACATGGCACAGTCTCTGGTAAGGACCTCTTGGGCTATGTCACATCATGGTGAGAGTGTGTGATTCCTCTCTCCCTCTTTATTATTAACCCTAGGATTCAATCATTGGGATTCCACCCTAATAACCTAATCTAACCTAATCACATCCCTGAGACCTCACCTTTAAACACCATGGTAGGTTTGAGTTTCCACTCTCTTAATGCAATTAACATCTGACTTTGGGGATTAAACTCTTGAATGAGTTTGGAGTTAGAAACCATCTTCAAACTGTAACAGCAGAGAATAATAAATGCTTAATAAAATATGAAGGTGAGCCCTGCCCTGACCCCAAGGAAAGAACTGTGTAAATGCTTCCTTATGACTCGGAACTGCGTTGCCTAGAACATTGGCTTATGGTTGTTTTGCAAAACAGTGAGGATCCCATATCACCGTGCACGGAGTACAACTGCACAGGTTGAGGAGCCGCTCTGAGCACAGTGGTGCTGGAGTCTATTGTTGAGGCATAACCTGGAAGCCACTGTGCCTCCACCACAACCACGTTCAACAGCACGTGCAGCCTCTGCTTGGCAAGTGGAAGAACTAACATAATACACCGAGCGCCTGCTTTCTGAAGCCTGGAAAGACTTTGTGATGTTGCGTTCAGGATTGTTTTTCATATTGTTAGGTATTTTGTTATATGATAAATTTTTAAAGAAATGCATTAAGCCTTGGATAATAGTACTAAAACTGTCAGAAATCTGCTCAGGAATATTTCCCAAACACGAATCTTTGAGAGAGTAGTTTGTTGGTTCGGCCAATTGGAGTTAATAATTTATCAACAGCAATGTAGAGAGTAATTCTATTTTTGTTACATTGTTTCGTATAAAAAAGGGGCCATTTACTATGCTTACAAGTAAATATTTAGGATTACTTATTTATAAGGCTATATACTTATTTATAAGGTTATATTGGTGAATAGGCACCAATAACAGGTCCACAAGGACATTTTTATAACTGGAGAATCATTAATCACAGGAATTTTGCAACATTTAAAAAAATCTTTTTAAAAGTAATATTGCATCCACTTCTAACCCTTCTGCCTGAAAATAGCAACATGGCATGAAACTGTTGGTGTCCTCGCCTTAGTGTAGCAAGAAGCAAAGCTGCCCACAGAAGGACCGGCTTCCAGCATCCCATCCCTGATTTGTTTTTGGGTTGTTGGTGGTTTTCCATTTTCTTTTCTTTTTCTTTTTCTTTTTTTTTTTTTTTTTTGCTACTGTGTGCACAAATCGCCTCTGTGGTTTGTGACTTTCCATGTGACACAGCGAAGTCACTGAATTCAGAAACGACAATCAGCTTGACAGCTGAGAAATGTTGGCATGCTGTATGAAGCTACTAGGTTGTCTCAAAGGTCAGGTGGACCCGTGTGGTCAGACC